CTGCTTCATGTCAGAGTCTCTAAACTCCAGAAGAAGTCGATAAAAGTCACTTTCTTTCTAAAAAAAAAGTTGTTAGGGGGTCTGAAAAGTCATTGAATCTAACAACAAAGTCGCTAGGTTTGCAACTACGTGTCCCAGACTGCATCCCTGCTGAGAGTCCCTCCCTCCCTTCTCATATTGCAGGAAGAACGTAAGCGCCCGCCCCTTGTCAATCAGTCACCATATAATTTTGGATTGGTTGTTGTGGTGAAGTTTTCCACCAATAGGAGAGATGTTGTGGTGTGTTTTTTTTTTCCTTTGGCAAGCCTTTTCCGCCTGTAAGACCTGTCGCTAATGTCTGCATGCTATGTTTTCCTGTCTCATACAGCGCGATCGAGCGCCGAACGTGATCAAAATAAGCAGAAAACAAGTATCGCGGACATAATTTATCATAACTCTGGTTTTATTTGGCCTATCAACACAATTTAAAAACTGGTATATAGGTTGAGGTCCTCACTTTTGAGATAAGTTGAAACGGAGTCAACGAGGCTCCGTCTTGCAGCTACATCCGGTTAAATATGTCATGTGACTTGAACGCACACACACACACACACACACACACACACACACGCACACACACACACTCAGAGTCTGGTTTTTAGCACCTGCAAAAACATGCTATTTACATATTTGACAAGAATGCAGAGGCTCCTTTTGCCCCTGAAAAAAATCAAATTTCAAACACAACTTGACTGGTCATTTCTCCAAAAGACAACCATGAAGCTCCATCCAAACCTGAAGCAGGCAGTTGGTGCATGTGTACAGTAACCTGAGGGGAGTGAGGTGACTGCTTCTGAGGAGAACATGAGCAGTGAAGATTCACCTTAGAGCTAGAACAGAGACGTGCACATGATTATACAGGGGCAGGGGCTCAAGTTTTTTCCAGTTGTTTATACAATATGGAAATTAATGTGAAATTAAAAAACAAAGTATTAATAGAAAGGTAATGACTGTCCTGAGTAGGTGACAGTGATATCCAATAGGCTAGGCACTCAAGAGGCTGGCTGTGGCAAGTGTAAGTGAAAGCAACACGCACTGGCAGGAAGAACAGCAAACGCCGATGAAGGAAAAGGGTCTTTGCAGTGATGGGCGTTACCAGAGAGGGCGATGGCCAGAGGACACAAATGGGACGGGGAGGCAGCGCGTTGGGGGGGGGACGCGACACAGCTCGGGCCCGCCAGTGCCCCAACGGGGTCCTAGTTCTTTATTTCTTTCTTCTTTTTCCTCCCCTTTGAACTGGAAAATGGCCCACTTCCCACTGGCGAAAACTCAGGAAATTTGGCAGGACGACCGGGCCTGGTGAAAAATTCGATATTCTGAAGTCGCCCAAACAATAAAATGCAAAATGGCTCCATAGCGCCCCCTAAGGTGGAAATTCACACTATTGACTGTCACGCCTGTACGCTTTGTCATATTGACACAAAAATTGACACACACATGTATCTCAATAAGATCTACAAAAAAGTCAGTGCAGGCGTATCTGTCAAATGTACGGTTAAAGGGTTATTGCGCATTTTTTGCCGATCCGCACACATTGGAATTTCGCTAACTCCTCCGAAGGCTTTCGTTCCACCGGCACCACATTTGCTCAGGCCAATCTACACCCCATGGCCATTAAAAGTTATTCAAATCATGACGCTGCACCCCACGGTTTAGGTTCTAGGGGGCGCCAAAGATAACCCTAAAATCCACAAATTTCAAAGTCTTATAACTTTTTATTTTTGCCCTCACTGGCCTCCAAGTTTTCTAGGATGATGCAATGTCCAGCCATCAACACATTTGTGAAGGAATTTTTACTCCCCAAAAGAGCGCCCCCCCATGGCAGGAGAAAAAAGTCCATTTTTTCTTGTCCCATAAGGTGAAAATTCACACTATTGACTGTCACGCCTGTACGCTTTGTCAAAATTACACAAAAATTGACACACACATGTATCTCAATAAGATCTACAAAAAAGTCAGTGCTAGCGTATCTGTCAAATGTACGGTTAAAGGGTTATTGCGCATTTTTTGCCGATCCGCACACATTGGAATTTCGCTAACTCCTCCGAAGGCTTTCGTTCCACCGGCACCACATTTGCTCAGGCCAATCTACACCCCATGGCCATTAAAAGTTATTCAAATCATGACGCTGCACCCCACGGTTTAGGTTCTAGGGGGCGCCAAAGATAACCCTAAAATCCACATATTTAAAAGTCTTATAACTTTTTATTTTTGTCCTCTCTGGCCTCCAAGTTTTCTAGGATGATGCAATGTCCAGCCATCAACACATTTGTGAAGGAATTTTTACTCGCCAAAAGAGCGCCCCCCCATGGCAGGAGAAAAAAGTCCATTTTTTCTTGTCCCATAAGGTGAAAATACACATTGTTGACTGTCATACCTGTATGCTTTGTCATATTGACACAAAATTTGACACACACATGTATCTCAATAAGATCTACGAAAAAGTCAATGTGCGCGTATCTGTAAAATGTACGGTTAAAGGGCTATTTTGCATTTTTTGCCGATTAGCACACATTGGAATGTGGCTAACTCCTCCTAAGGCTTTCGTCCCACTGACACCAAATTTGCTCAGGCCAATCTACACCCCATGGCCATTCAAAGTTTTAAAAATCATGATGCTGCACCCCACGGTTTACGTTCTAGGGGGCGCCAAAGATGACCCAAATATCCACATTCTTAAAAGAATCCACCCCCCCCCCCCCCCCATCCCCCATCCCCCCATCCCCCATCCCCCATGGCAGGAGAATAAAGTCAAGTTTTTCCTGCCCATCACTCAATGGCTCAATCGCATCGCTCTCCCGGCAACACCGTAACGAGGAGCAACTTGCCGTTTGGATATATCCTAGCTGTGTTTGTGCCCTCACTCATGGTCCAGACTTTTTTCAAATAGGACATGTAGTTTGTCTGCAGCGAGTGTTTTGGTAGAAACTGCGCCTCCCATTCATTATAATGGGAAATGACCACAGACAAGTGCGCACACCATCTTTGGACCTTGAGTGTGACGCGATCGGGAGGGGGAGGCGGTCGCACTGGGGGCGGCGCAACGCGGCTCGGGCCCGCCAGTGCCCCAACGGGGCCCTAGTTATTATTTTTCCTCCCCTTTGAACTGGAAAATGGCCCACTTCCCACTGGCGAAAACTCATGAAATTTGGCAGGACGACCGGGCCTGGTGAAAAATTTGATATTCCGAAGTCGCCCAAACAAGAAAATGCAAAATGGCTCCATAGCGCCCCCTAAGGTGAAAATTCACACTATTCACTGTCACGCCTGTACGCTTTGTCAAAATGACACAAAAATTGACACACACATGTATCTCAATAAGATCTACAAAAAAGTCAGTGCGGGCGTATCTGTCAAATGTACGGTTAAAGGGTTATTTCGCATTTTTTGCCGATCCGCACACATTGGAATTTCGCTAACTCCTCCGAAGGCTTTCGTTCCACCGGCACCACATTTGCTCAGGCCAATCTACACCCCATGGCCATTAAAACTTATTCAAATCATGACGCTGCACCCCACGGTTTAAGTTCTAGGGGGCGCCAAAGATAACCCTAAGATCCACATATTTAAAAGTCTTATAACTTTTTATTTTTGCCCTCACTGGCCTCCAAGTTTTCTAGGATGATGCAATGTCCAGCCATCAACACATTTGTGAAGGAATTTTTACTCCCCAAAAGAGCGCCCCCCCATGGCAGGAGAAAAAAGTCCATTTTTTCTTGTCCCCTAAGGTGAAAATACACATTGTTGAGTGTAACACCTGTACGCTTTGGCAAAATGACACAAAAATTGACACACACATGTATCTCAATAAGATCTACGAAAAAGTCAATGCGCGCGTATCTGTCAAATGTACGGTTAAAGGGTTATTCCGCATTTTTTGCCGATCCGCACACATTGGAATTTCGCTAACTCCTCCGAAGGCTTTCGTTCCACCGGCACCACATTTGCTCAGGCCAATCTACACCCCATGGCCATTAAAAGTTATTCAAATCATGACGCTGCACCCCACGGTTTAGGTTCTAGGGGGCGCCAAAGATAACCGTAAAATCCACATATTTAAAAGTCTTATAACTTTTTATTTTTGTCCCCACTGGCCTCCAAGTTTTCTAGGATGATGCAATGTCCAGCCATCAACACATTTGTGAAGGAATTTTTACTCCCCAAAAGAGCGCCCCCCCATGGTAGGAGAAAAAAGTCCATTTTTTCTTGTCCCCTTACATAAAAATACACATTGTTGAGTGTCACGCCTGAACGCTTTGTCATATTGACACAAAAATTGACAATCATGTGTATCTCAATTAGATCTACGAAAAAGTCAAAGAGCGCGTATCTGTATAATGTACGGTTAAAGGGCTATTTTGCATTTTTTGCCGATTCGCACACATTGGAATGTGGCTATCTCCTCCTAAGGCTTTCGTCCCACTGATACCAAATTTGCTCAGGGCAATCTACACCCCATGCCCATTCAAAGTTGTAAAAATCATGACGCTGCACCCCACGGTTTACGTTCTAGGGGGCGCCAAAGATGACCCAAAAATCCACATTCTTAAAAGTCATTTTGGCCACTGCAGGAGTACAGAGTACTGCAGTTCTAGGGGGCGCCAAAGATGACCCAAAAATCCACATTCTTAAGAGTCTTTTTGGCCACTGCAGGAGTACAGAGTACTGCAGGATACACACACATATACACACACGCCAACATACACACACACACACACACACACACACACACACACACACAGACACACACCCACACTCAGAGTCTGTTTTTTAGCACCTGCAAAAACATGCTGTTTACATATTTGACAAGAATGCAGAGGCTTCCTTTTGCCCCTGAAAAAAATCAAATTTCAAACACAACTTGACTGTTCATTTCTCCAAAAGACAACCATGAAGCTCCATTTCAAACCTGAAGCAGATAGTTGGTGCATGTGTACAGTAACCTGAGGGGAGTGAGGTGACTATTTCTGAGGAGAACATGAGCAATGAAGATTCACCTTGGAGCTAGAACAGGGACGTGCACATGATTATACAGGGGCAGGGGCTCAAGTTTTTTCCAGTCATTTATACAATATGGAAATTAATGTGAAATTAAACCACAAATATGTGTGATGAACTGTTTTTAAAACTTAAACTTCAAATAAAAATTGTAAACTTCAAAACATATGCAAATTTTTAACAAAGAACATAGTAATTTACCTCTATTGACATCAAAATGCAGGCAATGGCCCAGGTGTTCTTTGTAAAATTATTTACAAAACACTGTATAGTCTCACAAATGTCACTTTTTATTTATGCCACTACAAAAAAACATGATGTAAATGATGCATGATGTAAAACATGATGTAAAAAACTTGTGTAGATCCTCCTCTATGTTAGTCCATGTGTAATTTTTCCATAATTCTTTGTTTTTTGCAGCATTTTTGTTAGTGTAACTGCAGATTGTGCTGACAGTGTCTATGGCAAAAAAAAAAAAAAAAAAACTGAAAATGCCTCAACATGAACCCCTGGTGGTCTCTGAGGGTGAAACCTGCTAACTGCTGCAGCTCTGTCAGCTTCAGTCTCCCATGCAGAGCTCGGAGCGCATGTGTGGCTCTGCACCCTTAGCAGCGTTGCTAACTCCTCAGTAAGGAAAGCCTGCTTCATGTCAGAGTCTCTAAACTCCAGAAGAAGTCGATAAAAGTCACTTTCTTTCTAAAAAAAGTCGTTAGGGGGTCTGAAAAGTCATTGAATCTAACAACAAAGTCGCTAGGTTTGCAACTACGTGTCCCAGACTGCATCCCTGCTGAGAGTCCCTCCCTCCCTTCTCATATTGCAGGAAGAACGTAAGTTCCCGCCCCTTGTCAATCAGTCACCATATAATTTTGGATTGGTTGTTGTGGTGAAGTTTTCCACCAATAGGAGAGATGTTGTGGTGTGTATTTTTTTTCCTTTGGCAAGCCTTTTCCGCCTGTAAGACCTGTCGCTAATGTCTGCATGCTATGTTTTCCTGTCTCATACAGCGCGATCGAGCGCCGAACGTGATCAAAATAAGCAGAAAACAAGTATCGCGGACATAATTTATCATAACTCTGGTTTTATTTGGCCTATCAACACAATTTAAAAACTGGTATATAGGTTGAGGTCCTCACTTTTGAGATAAATTGAAACGGAGAGTCAACGAGGCTCCGTCTTGCAGCTACATCCGGTTAAATATGTCATGTGACTTGAACGCACACACACACACACACACACACACACACACACACACACACACACACACACACACTCAGAGTCTGGTTTGTAGCACCTGCAAAAACATGCTATTTACATATTTGACAAGAATGCAGAGGCTCCTTTTGCCCCTGAAAAAAATCAAATTTCAAACACAACTTGACTGGTCATTTCTCCAAAAGACAACCATGAAGCTCCATCCAAACCTGAAGCAGGCAGTTGGTGCATGTGTACAGTAACCTGAGGGGAGTGAGGTGACTGCTTCTGAGGAGAACATGAGCAGTGAAGATTTACCTTAGAGCTAGAACAGAGACGTGCACATGATTATACAGGGGCAGGGGCTCAAGTTTTTTCCAGTCGTTTATACAATTTGGAAATTAATGTGAAATTAAAAAACAAAGTATTAATAGAAAGGTAATGACTGTCCTGTGTAGGTGACAGTGATATCCAATAGGCTAGGCACTCACGAGGCTGGCTGTGGCAAGTGTAAGTGAAAGCAACACGCACTGGCAGGAAGAACAGCAAACGCCGATGAAGGAAAAGGGTCTTTGCAGTGATGGGCGTTACCAAAGAGGGCGATGGCCAGAGGACACAAATGGGACGGGGAGGCAGCGCGTTGGGGGGGACGCGACACAGCTCGGGCCCGCCAGTGCCCCAACGGGGTCCTAGTTAGGGCCCGAGCGTAGCTGCTAAGCAGCTGCGAGAGCCCTCTTGTTCCTGCATGTTTCCTTCTTTTTTAGGGCCCGAGCGTAGCTGCCAAGCAGCTGCGAGAGCCCTTTTTCCCAGGGTTTTTCTTTTGTTTCTTTTTTCTTTTTCCTCCCCTTTGAACTGGAAAATGGCCCACTTCCCACTGGCGAAAACTCATGAAATTTGGCAGGACGACCGGGCCTGGTGAAAAATTTGATATTCCGAAGTCGCCCAAACAAGAAAATGCAAAATGGCTCCATAGCGCCCCCTAAGGTGAAAATTCACACTATTGACTGTCACGCCTGTACGCTTTGTCAAAATGACACAAAAATTGACACACACATGTATCTCAATAAGATCTACAAAAAAGTCAGTGCGGGCGTATCTGTCAAATGTACGGTTAAAGGGTTATTTCGCATTTTTTGCCGATCCGCACACATTGGAATTTCGCTAACTCCTCCGAAGGCTTTCGTTCCACCGGCACCACATTTGCTCAGGCCAATCTACACCCCATGGCCATTAAAAGTTATTCAAATCATGACGCTGCACCCCACGGTTTAGGTTCTAGGGGGCGCCAAAGATAACCCTAAAATCCACATATTTAAAAGTCTTATAACTTTTTATTTTTGCCCTCACTGGCCTCCAAGTTTTCTAGGATGATGCAATGTCCAGCCATCAACACATTTGTGAAGGAATTTTTACTCCCCAAAAGAGCGCCCCCCCATGGCAGGAGAAAAAAGTCCATTTTTTCTTGTCCCCTAAGGTGAAAATACACATTGTTGAGTGTCACGCCTGTACGCTTTGTCAAAATGACACAAAAATTGACACACACATGTATCTCAATAAGATCTACAAAAAAGTCCATGCGCGCGTATCTGTCAAATGTACGGTTAAAGGGTTATTCCGCATTTTTTGCCGATCCGCACACATTGGAATTTCGCTAACTCCTCCGAAGGCTTTCGTTCCACCGGCACCACATTTGCTCAGGCCAATCTACACCCCATGGCCATTAAAAGTTATTCAAATCATGACGCTGCACCCCACGGTTTAGGTTCTAGGGGGAGCCAAAGATAACCGTAAAATCCACATATTTAAAAGTCTTATAACTTTTTATTTTTGTCCCCACTGGCCTCCAAGTTTTCTAGGATGATGCAATGTCCAGCCATCAACACATTTGTGAAGGAATTTTTACTCCCCAAAAGAGCGCCCCCCCATGGTAGGAGAAAAAAGTCCATTTTTTCTTGTCCCCTTACATAAAAATACACATTGTTGAGTGTCACGCCTGAACGCTTTGTCATATTGACACAAAAATTGACAATCATGTGTATCTCAATTAGCTCTACGAAAAAGTCAAAGAGCGCGTATCTGTATAATGTACGGTTAAAGGGCTATTTTGCATTTTTTGCCGATTCGCACACATTGGAATGTGGCTATCTCCTCCTAAGGCTTTCGTCCCACTGATACCAAATTTGCTCAGGGCAATCTACACCCCATGCCCATTCAAAGTTGTAAAAATCATGACGCTGCACCCCACGGTTTACGTTCTAGGGGGCGCCAAAGATGACCCAAAAATCCACATTCTTAAAAGTCATTTTGGCCACTGCAGGAGTACAGAGTACTGCAGTTCTAGGGGGCGCCAAAGATGACCCAAAAATCCACATTCTTAAGAGTCTTTTTGGCCACTGCAGGAGTACAGAGTACTGCAGGATACACACACATATACACACACGCCAACATACACACACACACACACACACACACACACACACACACACAGACACACACCCACACTCAGAGTCTGTTTTTTAGCACCTGCAAAAACATGCTGTTTACATATTTGACAAGAATGCAGAGGCTTCCTTTTGCCCCTGAAAAAAATCAAATTTCAAACACAACTTGACTGTTCATTTCTCCAAAAGACAACCATGAAGCTCCATTTCAAACCTGAAGCAGATAGTTGGTGCATGTGTACAGTAACCTGAGGGGAGTGAGGTGACTATTTCTGAGGAGAACATGAGCAATGAAGATTCACCTTGGAGCTAGAACAGGGACGTGCACATGATTATACAGGGGCAGGGGCTCAAGTTTTTTCCAGTCATTTATACAATATGGAAATTAATGTGAAATTAAACCACAAATATGTGTGATGAACTGTTTTTAAAACTTAAACTTCAAATAAAAATTGTAAACTTCAAAACATATGCAAATTTTTAACAAAGAACATAGTAATTTACCTCTATTGACATCAAAATGCAGGCAATGGCCCAGGTGTTCTTTGTAAAATTATTTACAAAACACTGTATAGTCTCACAAATGTCACTTTTTATTTATGCCACTACAAAAAAACATGATGTAAATGATGCATGATGTAAAACATGATGTAAAAAACTTGTGTAGATCCTCCTCTATGTTAGTCCATGTGTAATTTTTCCATAATTCTTTGTTTTTTGCAGCATTTTTGTTAGTGTAACTGCAGATTGTGCTGACAGTGTCTATGGCAAAAAAAAAAAAAAAAAAACTGAAAATGCCTCAACATGAACCCCTGGTGGTCTCTGAGGGTGAAACCTGCTAACTGCTGCAGCTCTGTCAGCTTCAGTCTCCCATGCAGAGCTCGGAGCGCATGTGTGGCTCTGCACCCTTAGCAGCGTTGCTAACTCCTCAGTAAGGAAAGCCTGCTTCATGTCAGAGTCTCTAAACTCCAGAAGAAGTCGATAAAAGTCACTTTCTTTCTAAAAAAAAGTCGTTAGGGGGTCTGAAAAGTCATTGAATCTAACAACAAAGTCGCTAGGTTTGCAACTACGTGTCCCAGACTGCATCCCTGCTGAGAGTCCCTCCCTCCCTTCTCATATTGCAGGAAGAACGTAAGTTCCCGCCCCTTGTCAATCAGTCACCATATAATTTTGGATTGGTTGTTGTGGTGAAGTTTTCCACCAATAGGAGAGATGTTGTGGTGTGTATTTTTTTTCCTTTGGCAAGCCTTTTCCGCCTGTAAGACCTGTCGCTAATGTCTGCATGCTATGTTTTCCTGTCTCATACAGCGCGATCGAGCGCCGAATGTGATCAAAATAAGCAGAAAACAAGTATCGCGGACATAATTTATCATAACTCTGGTTTTATTTGGCCTATCAACACAATTTAAAAACTGGTATATAGGTTGAGGTCCTCACTTTTGAGATAAATTGAAACGGAGAGTCAACGAGGCTCCGTCTTGCAGCTACATCCGGTTAAATATGTCATGTGACTTGAACGCACACACACACACACACACACAGACACACACACACACACACACACACACACACACACTCAGAGTCTGGTTTGTAGCACCTGCAAAAACATGCTATTTACATATTTGACAAGAATGCAGAGGCTCCTTTTGCCCCTGAAAAAAATCAAATTTCAAACACAACTTGACTGGTCATTTCTCCAAAAGACAACCATGAAGCTCCATCCAAACCTGAAGCAGGCAGTTGGTGCATGTGTACAGTAACCTGAGGGGAGTGAGGTGACTGCTTCTGAGGAGAACATGAGCAGTGAAGATTTACCTTAGAGCTAGAACAGAGACGTGCACATGATTATACAGGGGCAGGGGCTCAAGTTTTTTCCAGTCGTTTATACAATTTGGAAATTAATGTGAAATTAAAAAACAAAGTATTAATAGAAAGGTAATGACTGTCCTGTGTAGGTGACAGTGATATCCAATAGGCTAGGCACTCACGAGGCTGGCTGTGGCAAGTGTAAGTGAAAGCAACACGCACTGGCAGGAAGAACAGCAAACGCCGATGAAGGAAAAGGGTCTTTGCAGTGATGGGCGTTACCAAAGAGGGCGATGGCCAGAGGACACAAATGGGACGGGGAGGCAGCGCGTTGGGGGGGGACGCGACACAGCTCGGGCCCGCCAGTGCCCCAACGGGGTCCTAGTTAGGGCCGGCTGAGCAGCTGCGAGAGCCTCTTGTTCCTGCATGTTTCCTTCTTTGTATTATTAGGGCCCGAGCGTAGCTGCTAAGCAGCTGCGAGAGCCCTATTATTCCCCAAGGGGTTTTTCTTTGTTTCTTTTTTCTTTTTCCTCCCCTTTGAACTGGAAAATGGCCCACTTCCCACTGGCGAAAACTCATGAAATTTGGCAGGACGACCGGGCCTGGTGAAAAATTTGATATTCCGAAGTCGCCCAAACAAGAAAATGCAAAATGGCTCCATAGCGCCCCCTAAGGTGAAAATTCACACTATTGAGTGTCACGCCTGTACGCTTTGTCAAAATGACACAAAATTTGACACACACATGTATCTCAATAAGATCTACAAAAAAGTCAGTGCGGGCGTATCTGTCAAATGTACGGTTAAAGGGTTATTTCGCATTTTTTGCCGATCCGCACACATTGGAATTTCGCTAACTCCTCCGAAGGCTTTCGTTCCACCGGCACCACATTTGCTCAGGCCAATCTACACCCCATGGCCATTAAAAGTTATTCAAATCATGACGCTGCACCCCACGGTTTAGGTTCTAGGGGGCGCCAAAGATAACCCTAAAATCCACATATTTAAAAGTCTTATAACTTTTTATTTTTGCCCTCACTGGCCTCCAAGTTTTCTAGGATGATGCAATGTCCAGCCATCAACACATTTGTGAAGGAATTTTTACTCCCCAAAAGAGCGCCCCCCCATGGCAGGAGAAAAAAGTCCATTTTTTCTTGTCCCCTAAGGTGAAAATACACATTGTTGAGTGTCACGCCTGTACGCTTTGTCAAAATGACACAAAAATTGACACACACATGTATCTCAATAAGATCTACAAAAAAGTCCATGCGCGCGTATCTGTCAAATGTACGGTTAAAGGGTTATTCCGCATTTTTTGCCGATTCGCACACATTGGAATTTCGCTAACTCCTCCGAAGGCTTTCGTTCCACCGGCACCACATTTGCTCAGGCCAATCTACACCCCATGGCCATTAAAAGTTATTCAAATCATGACGCTGCACCCCACGGTTTACGTTCTAGGGGGCGCCAAAGATAACCCAAAAATCCACATTCTTAAAAGTCTTATAACTTTTTACTTTTGTCCTCACTGGCCTCCAAGTTTTCTAGGATGATGCAATGTCCAGCCATCAACACATTTGTGAAGGAATTTTTACTCCCTAAAAGAGCGCCCCCCATGGCAGGAGAAAAAAATCAATTTTTTCTTGTCCCCTAAGGTGAAAATACACATTGTTGACTGTCACGCCTGTACGCTTTGGCAAAATGACACAAAAATTGACAATCATGTGTATCTCAATTAGATCTACGAAAAAGTCAAAGAGCGCGTATCTGTATAATGTACGGTAAAAGGGCTATTTTGCATTTTTTGCCGATTCGCACACATTGGAATTTCGCTAACTCCTCCTAAGGCTTTCGTCCCACTGACACCAAATATGCTCAGGCCAATCTACACTCCATGGCCATTCAAAGTTGTAAAAATCATGACGCTGCACCCCACGGTTTACGTTTTGGGGGCGCCAAAGATGACCCAAATATACATTACAGTAGACAAAGTAGTTTTGCCCACTGAGTGGCGCCAAAGGGACTTGTCTGTGGAGTCTGTGAGTCACTATTGGCCGTTTTTGACTACTTTAGATTTTACCTTTATATTTCCTCTTACAAAATTTTTACCTTGCCTTGCCTGGTATCATTTTTTTCAGCACAACCTCACCTGTGTCAATTTACAGTTATTTTATCATTTTGACATACTATATTTACACATTGGACCCAAATTCACACACAAAACATAAAATCCGAGTGGAAAAAAGTAACGTTTTTACTGTGAAAACCACAAATATGTGTGATGAACTGTTTTTAAAACTTAAACTTCAAATAAAAATTGTAAACTTCAAAACATATGCAAATTTTTAACAAAGAACATAGTAATTTACCTCTATTTACATCAAAATGCAGGCAATGGCCCAGGTGTTCTTTGTAAAATTATTTACAAAACACTGTATAGTCTCACAAATGTCACTTTTTATTTATGCCACTACAAAAAAACATGATGTAAATGATGCATGATGTAAAACATGATGTAAAAAACTTGTGTATATCCTCCTCTATGTTAGTCCATGTGTAATTTTTCCATAATTCTTTGTTTTTTGCAGCATTTTTGTTAGTGTAACTGCAGATTGTGCTGACAGTGTCTATGGCAAAAAAAAAAAAAAAAAACTGAAAATGCCTCAACATGAACCCCTGGTGGTCTCTGAGGGTGAAACCTGCTAACTGCTGCAGATCTGTCAGCTTCATGCAGAGCTCGGAGCACATGTGTGGCTCTGCACCCTTAGCAGCGTTGCTAACTCCTCAGTAAGGAAAGCCTGCTTCATGTCAGAGTCTCTAAACTCCAGAAGAAGTCGATAAAAGTCACTTTCTTTCTAAAAAAGTCGTTAGGGGGTCTGAAAAGTCATTGAATCTAACAACAAAGTCGCTAGGTTTGCAACTACGTGTCCCAGACTGCATCCCTGCTGAGAGTCCCTCCCTCCCTTCTCATATTGCAGGAAGAACGTAAGCACCCGCCCCTTGTCAATCAGTCACCATATAATTTTGGATTGGTTGTTGTGGTGAAGTTTTCCACCAATAGGAGAGATGTTGTGGTGTGTTTTCTTTTTCCTTTGGCAAGCCTTTTCCGCCTGTAAGACCTGTCGCTAATGTCTGCATGCTATGTTTTCCTGTCTCATACAGCGCGATCGAGCGCCGAACGTGATCAAAATAAGCAGAAAACAAGTATCGGGGACATAATTTATCATAACTCTGGTTTTATTTGGCCTATCAACACAATTTAAAAACTGGTATATAGGTTGAGGTCCTCACTTTTGAGATAAGTTGAAACGGAGTCAACGAGGCTCCGTCTTGCAGCTACATCCGGTTAAATATGTCATGTGACTTGAACGCACACACACACACACACACACACACACACACACACACACACACACACACACACACACACAGACACACACACACACGCACACACACACACTCAGAGTCTGGTTTTTAGCACCTGCAAAAACATGCTATTTACATATTTGACAAGAATGCAGAGGCTCCTTTTGCCCCTGAAAAAAATCAAATTTCAAACACAACTTGACTGGTCATTTCTCCAAAAGACAACCATGAAGCTCCATCCAAACCTGAAGCAGGCAGTTGGTGCATGTGTACAGTAACCTGAGGGGAGTGAGGTGACTGCTTCTGAGGAGAACATGAGCAGTGAAGATTCACCTTAGAGCTAGAACAGAGACGTGCACATGATTATACAGGGGCAGGGGCTCAAGTTTTTTCCACTTGTTTATACAATATGGAAATTAATGTGAAATTAAAAAACAAAGTATTAATAGAAAGGTAATGACTGTCCTGAGTAGGTGACAGTGATATCCAATAGGCTAGGCACTCAAGAGGCTGGCTGTGGCAAGTGTAAGTGAAAGCAACACGCACTGGCAGGAAGAACAGCAAACGCCGATGAAGGAAAAGGGTCTTTGCAGTGATGGGTGTTACCAGAGAGGGCGATGGCCAGAGGACACGAATGGGACGGGGAGGCAGCGCGTTGGGGGGGGACGCGACACAGCTCGGGCCCGCCAGTGCCCCAACGGGGTCCTAGTTATTATTTTTCCTCCCCTTTGAACTGGAAAATGGCCCACTTCCCACTGGCGAAAACTCATGAAATTTGGCAGGACGACCGGGCCTGGTGAAAAATTCGATATTCCGAAGTCGCCCAAACAAGAAAATGCAAAATGGCTCCATAGCGCCCCCTAAGGTGAAAATTCACACTATTGACTGTCACGCCTGTACGCTTTGTCAAAATGACACAAAAATTGACACACACATGTATCTCAATAAGATCTACAAAAAAGTCAGTGCGGGCGTATCTGTCAAATGTACGGTTAAAGGGTTATTTCGCATTTTTTGCCGATCCGCACACATTGGAATTTCGCTAACTCCTCCGAAGGCTTTCGTTCCACCGGCACCACATTTGCTCAGGCCAATCTACACCCCATGGCCATTAAAAGTTATTCAAATCATGACGCTGCACCCCACGGTTTACGTTCTAGGGGGCGCCAAAGATAACCCTAAGATCCACATATTTAAAAGTCTTATAACTTTTTATTTTTGCCCTCACTGGCCTCCAAGTTTTCTAGGATGATGCAATGTCCAGCCATCAACACATTTGTGAAGGAATTTTTACTCCCCAAAAGAGCGCCCCCCATGGCAGGAGAAAAAAGTCCATTTTTTCTTGTCCACTAAGGTGAAAATTCACATTGTTGAGTGCTACGCCTGTATGTTTTGTCGTATTGACACAAAATTTTACATACACGTGTATTTCAATAAGATCTACGAAAAAGTCAATGGCCACGTATCTGTAAAATGTACGGTTAAAGGGGTATTTCGCATTTTTTGCAGATTCGCACACATTGGAATTTCGCTAACTCCTCTGAAGGCTTTCGTTCCACCGGCACCACATTTGCTCAGGCCAATCTACACCCCATGGCCATTAAAAGTTATTCAAATCATGACGCTGCACCCCACGGTTTAGGTTCTAGGGGGCGCCAAAGATAACCCTAAAATCCACATATTTAAAAGTCTTATAACTTTTTATTTTTGTCCTCACTGGCCTCCATGTTTTCTAGGATGATGCAATGTCCAGCCATCAACACATTTGTGAAGGAGTTTTTTCTTGTTAAAAGAGCGCCCCCCCATGGCAGGAGAATAAAGTCAAGTTTTTCCTGTTCATCATTCAATGGCTCAAACGCACTGCTCTCTCGGCAAAAGCGAAAGGAGGAGCAACTTGCCATTTGGATATATCTTAGCTGTGTTTGTGCCCTCACTCATGGTCCAGACTTTTTTCAAATAGGACATGGAGTTTTTCTGCAGCGAGCGTTTTGGTAGAAACTGCGCCTCCCGTTCATTATAATGGTAAATGACCACAAACAAGTGCGCACACCATCTTTGGACCTTGAGTGTGACGCGATCGGGTGGGGGAGGCGGTCGCGCTGGGGGTGGCGTGACACGGCTCGGGCCCGCCAGTGCCCCAACGGGGCCCTAGTTATTATTGTTATTCACCATCTTTATTAATATTGAATGTTGTTGTTGTTGTTGTTGTTCTTCTTCTTCTTCTTCTTATTATTAGGGCCCGAGCCAGCTGCAGAGCAGCCGGGCGTAGAGCCCTATTATTCCTGTAGTGGTTTTTCTTTGTTTGTTTGTTTCTTTCTTTCTTTCTTCTTTTTCCTCCCCTTTGAACTGGAAAATGGCCCACTTCCCACTGGCGAAAACTCATGAAATTTGGCAGGACGACCGGGCCTGGTGAAAAATTCGATATTCTGAAGTCGCCCAAACAATAAAATGCAAAATGGCTCCATAGCGCCCCCTAAGGTGGAAATTCACACTATTGACTGTCACGCCTGTACGCTTTGTCATATTGACACAAAAATTGACACACATATGTATCTCAATAAGATCTACAAAAAAGTCAGTGCGGGCGTATCTGTCAAATGTACGGTTAAAGGGTTATTTCGCATTTTTTGCAGATCCGCACACATTGGAATTTCGCTAACTCCTCCAAAGGCTTTCGTTCCACCGGCACCACCTTTGCTCAGGCCAATCTACACCCCATGGCCATTAAAAGTTGTTCAAATCATGACGCTGCACCCCACGGTTTAGGTTCTAGGGGGCGCCAAAGATAACCCAAAAATCCACAGTCTTAAAAGTCTTATAACTTTTTATTTTTCTCCTCACTGGCCTCCAAGTTTTCTAGGATGATGCAATGTCCAGCCATCAACATATTTGTGAAGGAATTTTTATTCCCCAAAAGAGCGCCCCCCCATGGCAGGAGAAAAAAGTCCATTTTTTCTTGTCCCCTAAGGTGAAAATACATATTGTTGAGATTCACGCCTATACGCTTTGTCATATTGACACAAAATTTGACAATCACGTGTATCTCAATAAGATCTACGAAAAAGTCAATGCCCGGTATCTGTAAAATGTACGGTTAAAGGGCTATTTTGCTTTTTTTGCCGATTCGCACACTCCTAAGGCCTTTGTCCCACTGACACCAAATTTGCTCAGGCCAATCTACACCCCATGGCCATTCAAAGTTGTAAAAATCATGACGCTGCACCCCACGGTTCACGTTCTAGGGGGCGCCAAAGATGACCCAAAAATCCACATTCTTCAAAGTACTTTTGGCCACTGAGTGGCGCCAAAGGGACTTGTCTATGGAGTCTGGGAGTCACTATTGGCCGTTTTTGACTACTTTAGATTTTACCTTTATATTTCCTCTTAAAATTTTTTTACCTTGCCTTGCCTGGTATCATTTTTTTCAGCACAACCTCACCTGTGTGAATTTACAGTTATTTTATCATTTTGACATACCGTATTTACACAATGGACCCAAATTCACACACAAAACATAAAATCCGAGTGGAAAAAAGTAACATTTTTACTGTGAAAACCACAAATATGTGTGATGAACTGTTTTTAAAACTTAAACTTCAAATAAAAATTGTAAACTTCAAAACATATGCAAATTTTTAACAAAGAACATAGTAATTTACCTCTATTTACATCAAAATGCAGGCAATGGCCCAGGCGTTCTTTGTAAAATTATTTACAAAACACTGTATAGTCTCACAAATGTCACTTTTTATTTATGCCACTACAAAAAAACATGATGTAAATGATGCATTATGTAAAACATGATGTAAAAAACTTGTGTAGATCCTCCTCTATGTCAGTCCATGTGTAATTTTTCCATAATTCTTTGTTTTTGCACCATTTTTGTTAGTGTAACTGCAGATTGTGCTGACAGTGTCTATGGCAAAAAAAAAAAAAAAAACAGAAAATGCCTCAACATGAACCCCTGGTGGTCTCTGAGGGTGAAACCTGCTAACTGCTGCAGCTCTGTCAGCTCTAGTCTCCCATGCAGAGCTCGGAGCGCATGTGTGGCTCTGCACCCTTAGCAGCGTTGCTAACTCCTCAGTAAGGAAAGCCTGCTTCATGTCAGAGTCTCTAAACTCCAGAAGAAGTCGATAAAATTCCCTTTCTTTCTAAAAAAAAAGTCGTTAGGGGGTCTGAAAAGTCATTGAATCTAACAACAAAGTCGCTAGGTTTGCAACTACATGTCCCAGACTGCATCCCTGCTGAGAGTCCCTCCCTCCCTTCTCATATTGCAGGAAGAACGTAAGCGCCCGCCCCTTGTCAAAAAGTCACCATATAATTTTGGATTGGTTGTTGTGGTGAAGTTTTCCACCAATAGGAGAGATGTTGTGGTGTGTTTTTTTTTCTTTTGGCAAGCCTTTTCCGCCTGTAAGAGCTGTCGCTAATGTCTGCATGCTATGTTTTCCTGTCTCATACAGCGCGATGGAGCGCCGAACGTGATCAAAATAAGCAGAAAAAAAGTATCACGGACATAATTTATCATAACTCTGGTTTAATTTGGCCTATCAACACAATTTAAAAACTGGTATATAGTTTGAGGTCCTCACTTTTGAGATAAGTTGAAACGGAGGGTGAACGAGGCTCCGTCTTGCAGCTACATCTGGTTAAATATGTCATGTGACTTGAACGCTGGGGAGCGTCAATCGACTGCAGAGCCAGCAGACAAAGTAGTTATGGCCACTGAGAGGCACACATTTGTCATATGCTATAATCCTAACATATTTTAATGCTTTTTCTATTTATACCTAATGGATCTAAGGTTTGACCTTCCAAATTTAGGAAGAATATGTTTTTGCAGTAATGACCCCCTTAAACAACCAGAGGTCCTTTCCTAAAGTTTATGGAAATTTTAGTGAAGGCCTTGGTTTCTTTCCTTGCAAAATGTATAGAAATAATAAAGCTAAATACCATAAAATGGTCTTGGCGTATTAGCAGTGATATAAAATAGTGGTTTGAATATGAATGAACAACAAAAAAAAAACATCAACACAGCCTTTTTGAGTTGGGATTCTTTCATTATCACACAAAAAAAGACATAGACAGACATCTAAAGGGTAAGGGAATGATCAGCCCTCCTAACTCTCAGATGAATCTTCAAAATTCACCTCAGAAATATGCTTATTATTCTTCTCAGAGCACTGCAAGATATACACACACACACACAGACACACACACACACAGACACACACACACACACACACACACACACACACTCAGAGTCTGTTTTTTAGTACCTGCAAAAACATGCTATTTACATATTTGACAAGAATGCAGAGGCTCCTTTTGCCCCTGAAAAAAATCAAATTTCAAACACAACTTGACTGCTCATTTCTCCAAAAGACAACCATGAAGCTCCATCCAAACCTGAAGCAGGCAGTTGGTGCATGTGTACAGTAACCTGAGGGGAGTGAGATGACTGCTTCTGAGGAGAACATGAGCAATGAAGATTCACCTTGGAGCCAGAACAGGGACGTGCACATGATTATACAGGGGCAGGGGCTCAAGTTTTTTCCAGTCATTTATACAATATGGAAATTAATGTGAAATTAAAAACAAAGTATTAATAGAAAGGTAATGACTGTCCTGTGTAGGTGACAGTGATATCCAATAGGCTAGGCACTCACGAGGCTGGCTGTGGCAAGTGTAAGTGAAAGCAACACGCACTGGCAGGAAGAACAGCAAACGCCGATGAAGGAAAAGGGTCTTTGCAGTGATGGGCGTCACCAGAGAGGGCGACAGCCAGAGGACGTGAATGGGACAGGGAGGCAGTCTCGCTGGGGGCGGCGCGACACGGCTCGGGCCCGCCAGTGCCCAAATGGGGCCCTAGTTATTATTATTATTATTAGGGCCCGAGCGTAGCTGCTAAGCAGCTGCGAGAGCCCTCTTGTTCCTGCATGTTTCCTTCTTTTGTTATTATTAGGGCCCGAGCGTAGCTGCTAAGCAGCTGCGAGAGCCCTCTTGTTCCTGCATGTTTCCTTCTTTAGGGCCCGAGCCAGCTGCAGAGCAGCCGGGCGTAGGCCCTATTATTCCCCAAGTGGTTTTTCTTTGTTTCTTTCTTTCTTTCTTTCTTTCTTAGGGCCCGAGCCAGCTGCAGAGCAGCCGGGCGTAGAGCCCTATTATTCCCCAAGTGGTTTTTCTTTGTTTCTTTCTTTCTTTTTAGGGCCCGAGCGTAGCTGCTAAGCAGCTGCGAGAGCCCTCTTGTTCCTGCATGTTTCCTTCTTTTGTTATTATTATTATTTTTCCTCCCCTTTGAACTGGAAAATGGCCCACTTCCCACTGGCGAAAACTCATGAAATTTGGCAGGACGACCGGGCCTGGTGAAAAATTTGATATTCCGAAGTCGCCCAAACAAGAAAATGCAAAATGGCTCCATAGCGCCCCCTAAGGTGAAAATTCACACTATTGACTGTCACGCCTGTACGCTTTGTCAAAATGACACAAAAATTGACACACACATGTATCTCAATAAGATCTACAAAAAAGTCAGTGCGGCCGTATCTGTCAAATGTACGGTTAAAGGGTTATTTCGCATTTTTTGCCGATCCGCACACATTGGAATTTCGCTAACTCCTCCGAAGGCTTTCGTTCCACCGGCACCACATTTGCTCAGGCCAATCTACACCCCATGGCCATTAAAAGTTATTCAAATCATGACGCTGCACCCCACGGTTTAGGTTCTAGGGGGCGCCAAAGATAACCCTAAGATCCACATATTTAAAAGTCTTATAACTTTTTATTTTTGCCCTCACTGGCCTCCAAGTTTTCTAGGATGATGCAATGTCCAGCCATCAACACATTTGTGAAGGAATTTTTACTCCCCAAAAGAGCGCCCCCCCATGGCAGGAGAAAAAAGTCCATTTTTTCTTGTCCCCTAAGGTGAAAATACACATTGTTGAGTGTAACACCTGTACGCTTTGGCAAAATGACACCAAAATTGAGACACACATGTATCTCAATAAGATCTACAAAAAAGTCAGTGCGCACGTATCTGTCAAATGTACGGTTAAAGGGTTATTCCGCATTTTTTGCCGATCCGCACACATTGGAATTTCGCTAACTCCTCCGAAGGCTTTCGTTCCACCGGCACCACATTTTCTCAGGCCAATCTACACCCCATGGCCATTAAAAGTTATTCAAATCATGACGCTGCACCCCACGGTTTAGGTTCTAGGGGGCGCCAAAGATAACCGTAAAATCCACATATTTAAAAGTCTTATAACTTTTTATTTTTGTCCCCACTGGCCTCCAAGTTTTCTAGGATGATGCAATGTCCAGCCATCAACACATTTGTGAAGGAATTTTTACTCCCCAAAAGAGCGCCCCCCCATGGCAGGAGAAAAAAGTCCATTTTTTCTTGTCCACTAAGGTGAAAATACACATTGTTGAGTGCTACGCCTGTATGTTTTGTCGTATTGACACAAAATTTTACATACACGTGTCTTTCAATAAGATCTTCGAAAAAGTCAATGGCCACGTATCTGTAAAATGTACGGTTAAAGGGTTATTTCGCATTTTTTGCAGATTCGCACACATTGGAATTTCGCTAACTCCTCCGAAGGCTTTCGTTCCACCGGCACCACATTTGCTCAGGCCAATCTACACCCCATGGCCATTAAAAGTTATTCAAATCATGACGCTGCACCCCACGGTTTAGGTTCTAGGGGGCGCCAAAGATAACCCTAAAATCCACATATTTAAAAGTCTTATAACTTTTTATTTTTGTCCTCACTGGCCTCCATGTTTTCTAGGATGATGCAATGTCCAGCCATCAACACATTTGTGAAGGAGTTTTTTCTCGTTAAAAGAGCGCCCCCCCATGGCAGGAGAATAAAGTCAAGTTTTTCCTGTTCATCATTCAATGGCTCAAACGCACTGCTCTCTCGGCAAAAGCGAAAGGAGGAGCAACTTGCCATTTGGATATATCTTAGCTGTGTTTGTGCCCTCACTCATGGTCCAGACTTTTTTCAAATAGGACATGGAGTTTTTCTGCAGCGAGCGTTTTGGTAGAAACTGCGCCTCCCGTTCATTATAATGGTAAATGACCACAAACAAGTGCGCACACCATCTTTGGACCTTGAGTGTGACGCGATCGGGTGGGGGAGGCGGTCGTGCTGGGGGCGGCGTGACACGGCTCGGGCCCGCCAGTGCCCCAACGGGGCCCTAGTTAGGGCCCGAGCGTAGCTGCTAAGCAGCTGCGAGAGCCCTATTATTCCCCAAGGGGTTTTTCTTTGTTTCTTTTTTCTTTTTCCTCCCCTTTGAACTGGAAAATGGCCCACTTCCCACTGGCGAAAACTCATGAAATTTCGCAGGACGACCGGGCCTGGTGAAAAATTTGATATTCCGAAGTCGCCCAAACAAGAAAATGCAAAATGGCTCCATAGCGCCCCCTAAGGTGAAAATTCACACTATTGAGTGTCACGCCTGTACGCTTTGTCAAAATGACACAAAATTTGACACACACATGTATCTCAATAAGATCTACAAAAAAGTCAGTGCGGGCGTATCTGTCAAATGTACGGTTAAAGGGTTATTTCGCATTTTTTGCCGATCCGCACACATTGGAATTTCGCTAACTCCTTTGAAGGCTTTCGTTCCACCGGCACCACATTTGCTCAGGCCAATCTACACCCCATGGCCATTAAAAGTTATTCAAATCATGACGCTGCACCCCACGGTTTAGGTTCTAGGGGGCGCCAAAGATAACCCTAAAATCCACATATTTAAAAGTCTTATAACTTTTTATTTTTGCCCTCACTGGCCTCCAAGTTTTCTAGGATGATGCAATGTCCAGCCATCAACACATTTGTGAAGGAATTTTTACTCCCCAAAAGAGCGCCCCCCATGGCAGGAGAAAAAAGTCCATTTTTTCTTGTCCCCTAAGGTGAAAATACACATTGTTGAGTGTCACGCCTGTACGCTTTGTCAAAATGACACAAAAATTGACACACACATGTATCTCAATAAGATCTACAAAAAAGTCCATGCGCGCGTATCTGTCAAATGTACGGTTAAAGGGTTATTCCGCATTTTTTGCCGATTCGCACACATTGGAATTTCGCTAACTCCTCCGAAGGCTTTCGTTCCACCGGCACCACATTTGCTCAGGCCAATCTACACCCCATGGCCATTAAAACTTATTCAAATCATGACGCTGCACCCCACGGTTTACGTTCTAGGGGGCGCCAAAGATAACCCAAAAATCCACATTTTTAAAAGTCTTATAACTTTTTATTTTTGTCCTCACTGGCCTCCAAGTTTTCTAGGATGATGCAATGTCCAGCCATCAACACATTTGTGAAGGAATTTTTACTCCCTGAAAGAGCGCCCCCCCATGGCAGGAGAAAAAAGTCCATTTTTTCTTGTCCCCTAAGGTGAAAATACACATTGTTGACTGTCACGCCTGTACGCTTTGGCAAAATGACACAAAAATTGACAATCATGTGTATCTCAATTAGATCTACGAAAAAGTCAAAGAGCGCGTATCTGTATAATGTACGGTAAAAGGGCTATTTTGCATTTTTTGCCGATTCGCACACATTGGAATTTCGCTAACTCCTCCTAAGGCTTTCGTCCCACTGACACCAAATTTGCTCAGGCCAATCTACACTCCATGGCCATTCAAAGTTGTAAAAATCATGACGCTGCACCCCACGGTTTACGTTTTAGGGGGCGCCAAAGATGACCCAAATATACATTACAGTAGACAAAGTAGTTTTGCCCACTGAGTGGCGCCAAAGGGACTTGTCTGTGGAGTCTGTGAGTCACTATTGGCCGTTTTTGACTACTTTAGATTTTACCTTTATATTTCCTCTTACAAAATTTTTACCTTGCCTTGCCTGGTATCATTTTTTTCAGCACAACCTCACCTGTGTCAATTTACAGTTATTTTATCATTTTGACATACTATATTTACACATTGGACCCAAATTCACACACAAAACATAAAATCCGAGTGGAAAAAAGTAACGTTTTTACTGTGAAAACCACAAATATGTGTGATGAACTGTTTTTAAAACTTAAACTTCAAATTAAAATTGTAAACTTCAAAACATATGCAAATTTTTAACAAAGAACATAGTAATTTACCTCTATTTACATCAAAATGCAGGCAATGGCCCAGGTGTTCTTTGTAAAATTATTTACAAAACACTGTATAGTCTCACAAATGTCACTTTTTATTTATGCCACTACAAAAAAACATGATGTAAATGATGCATGATGTAAAACATGATGTAAAAAACTTGTGTATATCCTCCTCTATGTTAGTCCATGTGTAATTTTTCCATAATTCTTTGTTTTTTGCAGCATTTTTGTTAGTGTAACTGCAGATTGTGCTGACAGTGTCTATGGCACAAAAAAAAAAAAAATTAAAATGCCTCAACATGAACCCCTGGTGGTCTCTGAGGGTGAAACCTGCTAACTGCTGCAGCTCTGTCAGCTTCAGTCTCCCATGCAGAGCTCTGAGCGCATGTGTGGCTCTGCACCCGTAGCAGCGTTGCTAACTCCTCAGTAAGGAAAGCCTGCTTCATGTCAGAGTCTCTAAACTCCAGAAGAAGTCGATAAAAGTCCCTTTCTTTCTAAAAAAAAGTCGTTAGGGGGTCTGAAAAGTCATTGAATCTAACAACAAAGTCGCTAGGTTTGCAACTACGTGTCCCAGACTGCATCCCTGCTGAGAGTCCCTCCCTCCCTTCTCATGTTGCAGGAAGAACGTAAGCACCCGCCCCTTGTCAATCAGTCACCATATAATTTTGGATTGGTTGTTGTGGTGAAGTTTTCCACCAATAGGAGAGATGTTGTGGTGTGATTTTTTTCTTTTGGCAAGCCTTTTCCGCCTGTAAGACCTGTCGCTAATGTCTGCATGCTATGTTTTCCTGTCTCATACAGCGCGATCGAGCGCCGAACGTGATCAAAATAAGCAGAAAAAAAGTATCGCGGACATAATTTATCATAACTCTGGTTTTATTTGGCCTATCAACACAATTTAAAAACTGGTATATAGGTTGAGGTCCTCACTTTTGAGATAAGTTGAAACGGAGAGTCAACGAGGCTCCGTCTTGCAGCTACATCCGGTTAAATATGTCATGTGACTTGAACGCACACACACACACACACACACACACACACACACACACACACACACACACACACACACACACACACTCAGAGTCTGGTTTTTAGCACCTGCAAAAACATGCTATTTACATATTTGACAAGAATGCAGAGGCTCCTTTTGCCCCTGAAAAAAATCAAATTTCAAACACAACTTGACTGGTCATTTCTCCAAAAGACAACCATGAAGCTCCATCCAAACCTGAAGCAGGCAGTTGGTGCATGTGTACAGTAACCTGAGGGGAGTGAGGTGAGTGCTTCTGAGGAGAACATGAGCAGTGAAGATTCACCTTGGAGCTAGAACAGAGACATGCACATGATTATACAGGGGCAGGGGCTCAAGTTTTTTCCAGTCGTTTATACAATATGGAAATTAATGTGAAATTAAAACACAAAGTATTAATAGAAAGGTAATGACTGTCCTGTGTAGGTGACAGTGATATCCAATAGGCTAGGCGCTCACGAGGCTGGCTGTGGCAAGTGTAAGTGAAAGCAACACGCACTGGCAGGAAGAACAGCAAACGCCGATGAAGGAAAAGGGTCTTTGCAGTGATGGGCGTTACCAGAGAGGGCGATGGCCAGAGGACACAAATGGGACGGGGAGGCAGCACGTTGGGGGGGGGGGGGGGGGGGAGCACGGCTCGGGCCCGCCAGTGCCCCAACGGGGTCGTAGTTAGGGCCCGAGCGTAGCTGCTAAGCAGCTGCGAGAGCCCTCTTGTTCCTGCATGTTTCCTTCTTTAGGGCCCGAGCGTAGCTGCTAAGCAGCTGCGAGAGCCCTCTTGTTCCTGATGGATTCTTTAGGGCCCGAGCCAGCTGCAGAGCAGCCGGGCGTAGAGCCCTATTATTCCTGTATAGGTTTTTCTTTCTTCTTTCTTTCTTTCTTTCTTCTTATTTTTCCTCCCCTTTGAAGGGGAAAATGGCCCACTTCCCACTGGCGAAAACTCAGGAAATTTGGCAGGACGACCGGGCCTGGTGAAAAATTCGATATTCTGAAGTCGCCCAAACAATAAAATGCAAAATGGCTCCATAGCGCCCCCTAAGGCGAAAATTCACACTATTGACTGTCACGCCTGTACGCTTTGTCATATTGACACAAAAATTGACACACACATGTATCTCAATAAGATCTACAAAAAAGTCAGTGCGGGCGTATCTGTCAAATGTACGGTTAAAGGGTTATTTCGCATTTTTTGCAGATCCGCACACATTGGAATTTCGCTAACTCCTCCGAAGGCTTTCGTTCCACCGGCACCACATTTGCTCAGGCCAATCTACACTCCATGGCCATTCAAAGTTGTACAAATCATGATGCTGCACTCCATGGTTTAGGTTCTAGGGGGCGCCAAAAATAACCCAAAAATCCACATTCTTAAAAGTTTTATAACTTTTTTTTTTTGTCCTCACTGGCCTCCAAGTTTTCTAGGATGATGCAATGTCCAGCCATCAACACATTTGTAAAGGAATTTTTACTCCCCAAAAGAGCGCCCCCCATGGCAGGACAAAAAATCAATTTTTTCTTGTCCCCTAAGGTGAAAATACACATTGTTGAGATTCACGCCTGTATGCTTTGTCAAAATGACACAAAATTTGACACACACGTGTATCTCAATAAGATCTACGAAAAAGTTAATGGGCACGTATCTGTAAAATGTACGGTTAAAGGGCTATTTCGCATTTTTTTGCCGATTCGCACGCATCGGAATGTAGCTAACTCCTCCTAAGGCTTTCGTCCCACTGACACCAAATTTTTGTCAGGCCAATCTATACCCCATGGCCATTCAAAGTTGTAAAAATCATGACGCTGCACCCCACGGTTTACGTTTTAGGGGGCGCCAAAGATGACCCAAATATCCATATTCTTTAAAGTGTTAAAACATTTTATTTTTGTCCTCACTAGCCTCCAAGTTTTCTAGGATGATGCAATGTCCAGCCATCAACACATTTGTGAAGGACTTTTTTCTCCCCAAAAGTGCGCCCCCCCATGGCAGGAGAAAAAATTCCATTTTTTTCTTGTCCCCTAAGGTGAAAAAACACATTGTTGACTGTCACGCCTATACGCTTTGTCAAAATGACACAAAATTTGACACACACGTGTATCTCAATAAGATCTACGAAAAAGTCAATGGGCACGTATCTGTAAAATGTACGGTTAAAGGGCTATTTTGCATTTTTTGCCGATTCGCACACATTGGAATGTGGCTAACTCCTCCTAAGGCTTTCGTCCCACCAACACCAAATTTGCTCAAGCCGATCTACATCCCATGGCCATTCAAAGTTGTAGAAATCATGACGCTGCTCCCTACGGTTTACGTTCTAGGGGGCGCCAAAGATGACCCAAATATCCACATTCTTAAAAGAATCCACATCCCCCCCCCCCAAGGCAGGAGAAAAAGTCAAGTTAACCCTGCCCATCGGTCAATGGCTCAATCGCATCGCTCTCCCGGCAACACCGTAAGGAGGAGCAACTTGCCATTTGGATATATCCTAGCTGTTTTTGTGCCCTCACTCATGGTCCAGACTTTTTTCAAATAGGACATGTAGTTTGTCTGCAGCGAGTGTTTTGGTAGAAACTGCGCCTCCCATTCATTATAATGGGAAATGACCACAGACAAGTGCGCACACCATCTTTGGACCTTGAGTGTGACGCGATCGGGAGGGGGAGGCGGTCGCGCTGGGGGCGGCGCGACGCGGCTCGGGCCCGACAGTGCCCCACCGGGGCCCTAGTTAGGGCCCGAGCCAGCTGCAGAGCAGCCGGGCGTAGAGCCCTATTATTCCTGTATAGGTTTTTCTTTCTTCTTTAGGGCCCGAGCGTAGCTGCTAAGCAGCTGCGAGAGCCCTCTTGTTCCTGTAGTTTCCTTCTTTTGTTATTATTATTATTATTATTTTTCCTCCCCTTTGAACTGGAAAATGGCCCACTTCCCACTGGCGAAAACTCATGAAATTTGGCAGGATGACCGGGCCTGGTGAAAAATTTGATATTCCGAAGTCGCCCAAACAAGAAAATGCAAAATGGCTCCATAGCGCCCCCTAAGGTGAAAATTCACACTATTCACTGTCACGCCGGTACGCTTTGTCAAAATGACACAAAAATTGACACACACATGTATCTCAATAAGATCTACAAAAAAGTCAGTGCGGGCGTATCTGTCAAATGTACGGTTAAAGGGTTATTTCGCATTTTTTGCCGATCCGCACACATTGGAATTTTGCTAACTCCTCCGAAGGCTTTCGTTCCACCGGCACCACATTTGCTCAGGCCAATCTACACCCCATGGCCATTAAAAGTTATTCAAATCATGACGCTGCACCCCACGGTTTAGGTTCTAGGGGGCGCCAAAGATAACCCTAAGATCCACATATTTAAAAGTCTTATAACTTTTTATTTTTGCCCTCACTGGCCTCCAAGTTTTCTAGGATGATGCAATGTCCAGCCATCAACACATTTGTGAAGGAATTTTTACTCCCCAAAAGAGCGCCCCCCCATGGCAGGAGAAAAAAGTCCATTTTTTCTTGTCCCCTAAGGTGAAAATACACATTGTTGAGTGTAACACCTGTACGCTTTGGCAAAATGACACAAAAATTGACACACACATGTATCTCAATAAGATCTACGAAAAAGTCAATGCGCGCGTATCTGTCAAATGTACGGTTAAAGGGTTATTCCGCATTTTTTGCCGATCCGCACACATTGGAATTTCGCTAACTCCTCCGAAGGCTTTCGTTCCACCGGCACCACATTTGCTCAGGCCAATCTACACCCCATGGCCATTAAAAGTTATTCAAATCATGACGCTGCACCCCACGGTTTAGGTTCTAGGGGGAGCCAAAGATAACCGTAAAATCCACATATTTAAAAGTCTTATAACTTTTTATTTTTGTCCCCACTGGCCTCCAAGTTTTCTAGGATGATGCAATGTCCAGCCATCAACACATTTGTGAAGGAATTTTTACTCGGCAAAAGAGCGCCCCCCCATGGCAGGAGAAAAAAGTCAATTTTTTCTTGTCCACTAAGGTGAAAATACACATTGTTGAGTGCTACGCCTGTATGTTTTGTCGTATTGACACAAAATTTTACATACACGTGTATTTACATAAGATCTTCGAAAAAGTCAATGGCCACGTATCTGTAAAATGTACGGTTAAAGGGTTATTTCGCATTTTTTGCAGATTCGCACACATTGGAATTTCGCTAATTCCTCCGAAGGCTTTCGTTCCACCGGCACCACATTTGCTCAGGCCAATCTACACCCCATGGCCATTAAAAGTTATTCAAATCATGACGCTGCACCCCACGGTTTAGGTTCTAGGGGGCGCCAAATATAACCCTAAAATCCACATATTTAAAAGTCTTATAACTTTTTATTTTTGTCCTCACTGGCCTCCATGTTTTCTAGGATGATGCAATGTCCAGCCATCAACACATTTGTGAAGGAGTTTTTTCTCTTTAAAAGAGCGCCCCCCCATGGCAGGAGAATAAAGTCAAGTTTTTCCTGTTCATCATTCAATGGCTCAAACGCACTGCTCTCTCGGCAAAAGCGAAAGGAGGAGCAACTTGCCATTTGGATATATCTTAGCTGTGTTTGTGCCCTCACTCATGGTCCAGACTTTTTTCAAATAGGACATGGAGTTTTTCTGCAGCGAGCGTTTTGGTAGAAACTGCGCCTCCCGTTCATTATAATGGTAAATGACCACAAACAAGTGCGCACACCATCTTTGGACCTTGAGTGTGACGCGATCGGGTGGGGGAGGCGGTCGCGCTGGGGGCGGCGTGACACGGCTCGGGCCCGCCAGTGCCCCAACGGGGCCCTAGTTCTTTCTTTCTTTCTTCTTATTTTTCCTCCCCTTTGAAGGGGAAAATGGCCCACTTCCCACTGGCGAAAACTCATGAAATTTGGCAGGACGAATGGGCCTGGTGAAAAATTCGATATTCTGAAGTCGCCCAAACAATAAAATGCAAAATGGCTCCATAGCGCCCCCTAAGGTGAAAATTCACACTATTGACTGTCACGCCTTTACGCTTTGTAATATTGACACAAAAATTGACACACACATGTATCTCAATAAGATCTACAAAAAAGTCAGTGCGGGCGTATCTGTCAAATGTACGGTTAAAGGGTTATTTCGCATTTTTTGCCGATCCGCACACATTGGAATTTCGCTAACTCCTCCGAAGGCTTTCGTTCCACCGGCACCACATTTGCTCAGGCCAATCTACACCCCATGGCCATTAAAAGTTGTACAAATCATGACGCTGCACCCCACGGTTTACGTTCTAGGGGGCGCCAAAGATAACCCAAAAATCCACAGTCTTAAAAGTCTTATAACTTTTTATTTTTGTCCTCACTGGCCTCCAAGTTCTCTAGGATGATGCAATGTCCAGCCATCAACACATTTGTGAAGGAATTTTTACTCGCCAAAAGAGCGCCCCCCCATGGCAGGAGAAAAAAGTCCATTTTTTCTTGTCTCCTAAGGCGAAAATTCACACTATTGACTGTCACGCCTTTACGCTTTGTCATATTGACACAAAAATTGACACACACATGTATCTCAATAAGATCTACGAAAAAGTCAATGCGAGCGTATCTGTTCAATGTACGATTAAAGGGCTATTTCGCATTTTTTGCCGATTCGCACACATTGGAATGTGGCTAACTCCTCCTAAATCTTTTGTCCCATCGGCTTCAAATTTGCTCAGGTCAATCTACACCCCATGGCCATTCAAAGTTGTACAAATCATGACGCTGCACCCCACAGTTTACGTTCTAGGGGGCGCCAAAGAGGACCCAAATATCCACATTTTTAAAAGTCTTATAACTTTTTATTTTTGTCCTCACTGGCCTCCAAGTTTTCTAGGATGATGCAATGTCCAGCCATCAACACATTTGTGAAGGAATTTTTACTCCCCAAAAGAGCGCCCCCCCATGGCAGGAGAAAAAGTCAAGTTTTTCCTGCCCATCGCTCAATGGCTCAAACGCATCGCTCTCTCGGCAAAACCGAAAGGAGGAGCAACTTGCCATTTGGATATATACTAGCTGTGTTTGTGCCCTCACTCATGGTCCAGACTTTTTTCAAAAAGGACATGGAGTTTGTCTGCAGCGAGCGTTTTGGTAGAAACTGCGCCTCCCATTCATTATAATGGTAAATGACCACAGACAAGTGCGCACACCATCTTTGGACCTTGAGTGTGACGCGATCGGGAGGGGTAGGCGGTCGCGCTGGGGGCGGCGCGACACGGCTCGGGCCCGCCAGTGCCCCAACGGGGCCCTAGTTATTTTTCCTCCGCTTTAAACTGGAAAATGGCCCACTTCCCACTGGCGAAAACTCAGGAAATTTGGCAGGACGACCGGGCCTGGTGAAAAATTCGATATTCTGAAGTCGCCCAAACAATAAAATGCAAAATGGCTCCATAGCGCCCCCTAAGGTGAAAATTCACATGACGGCTGTACGCTTTGTCATATTGACAGAAAAATTGACACACACGTGTATCTCAATAAGATCTACAAAAAAGTCAGTGCGGCCGTATCTGTCAAATGTACGGTTAAAGGGTTATTTTTCATTTTTTGCAGATCTGCACACATTGGAATTTCGCTAACTCCTCCGAAGGCTTTCGTTCGACCGGCACCACATTTGCGCAGGCCAATCTACACCCCATGGCCATTAAAAGTTGTACAAATCATGACGCTGCACCCCACGGTTTACGTTCTAGGGGGCGCCAAAGATAACCCAAAAATCCACATTCTTAAAAGTCTTATAACTTTTTACTTTTGTCCTCACTGGCCTCCAAGTTTTCTAGGATGATGCAATGTCCAGCCATCAACACAATTTTGAAGGAATTTTTACTCCCCAAAAGAGCGCCCCCCAATGGCAGGAGAAAAAGGTCCATTTTTTCTTGTCTCCAAAGGTCAAAATACACATTGTCGAGTGTCACGTTTGTATGCTTTGTCATATTGACACAAAATTTGACAATCACATGTATCTCAATAAGATCTACGAAAAAGTCAAAGGGCATGTATCTGTCAAATGTACGGTTAAAGGGCTATTTTGCATTTTTTGCCGATCCGCACACATTGGAATTTCACTAACTCCTCCGAAGGCTATCTTTCCACCGGCACCAAATTTGCTCAGGCCAATCTACACCCCATGGCCATTAAAAGTTGTACAAATCATCTTGCTGCACCCCACGTTTTGGGTTCTAGGGGGCACCAAATATAACCCAAAAATCCACATTCTTAAAAGTCTTATAACTTTTTATTTTTTTCCATACTGGCCTCCAAGTTTTTTAGGATGATGCAATGTCCAGCCATCAACACATTTGTGAAGAAATTTTTACTCCCCAAAAGAGCGCCCCCCATGGCAGGAGAAAAAAGTCCATTTTTTCTTATCCCGAAAGGTGAAAATACACGTTGTTGAGTGTCACGCCTTTACGCTTTGTCATATTGACAAAAAAATTGACAATCATGTGTATCTCAATTAGATCTACGAAAAAGTCAAAGAGCGCGTATCTGTATAATGTACGGTTAAAGGGCTATTTTGCATTTTTTGCCGATTCGCACACATTGGAATGTGGCTATCTCCTCCTAAGGCTTTCGTCCCACCGATACCAAATTTGCTCAGGGCAATCTACACCCCATGCCCATTCAAAGTTGTAAAAATCATGACGCTGCACCCCACGGTTTACGTTCTAGGGGGCGCCAAAGATGACCCAAAAATCCACATTCTTAAAAGTCATTTTGGCCACTGCAGGAGTACAGAGTACTGCAGTTCTAGGGGGCGCCAAAGATGACCCAAAAATCCACATTCTTAAAAGTCTTTTTGGCCACTGCAGGAGTACAGAGTACTGCAGGATACACACACATATACACACACGCCAACATACACACACACACACACACACACAGACACACACACACACACTCAGAGTCTGGTTTTTAGCACCTTCAAAAACATGCTGTTTACATATTTGACAAGAATGCAGAGGCTTCCTTTTGCCCCTGAAAAAAATCAAATTTCAAACACAACTTGACTGTTCATTTCTCCAAAAGACAACCATGAAGCTCCATTTCAAACCTGAAGCAGATAGTTGGTGCATGTGTACAGTAACCTGAGGGGAGTGAGGTGACTATTTCTGAGGAGAACATGAGCAGTAAGATTCACCTTGGAGCTAGAACAGGGACGTGCACATGATTATACAGGGGCAGGGGCTCAAGTTTTTTCCAGTCATTTATACAATATGGAAATTAATGTGAAATTAAACCACAAATATGTGTGATGAACTGTTTTTAAAACTTAAACTTCAAATAAAAATTGTAAACTTCAAAACATATGCAAATTTTTAACAAAGAACATAGTAATTTACCTCTATTTACATCAAAATGCAGGCAATGGCCCAGGCGTTCTTTGTAAAATTATTTACAAAACACTGTATAGTCTCACAAATGTCACTTTTTATTTATGCCACTACAAAAAAACATGATGTAAATGATGCATGATGTAAAACATGATGTAAAAAACTTGTGTAGATCCTCCTCTATGTCAGTCCATGTGTAATTTTTCCATAATTCTTTGTTTTTTGCAGCATTTTTGTTAGTGTAACTGCAGATTGTGCTGACAGTGTCTATGGCACAAAAAAAAAAAAAAAATTTAAAATGCCTCAACATGAACCCCTGGTGGTCTCTGAGGGTGAAACCTGCTAACTGCTGCAGCTCTGTCAGCTTCAGTCTCCCATGCAGAGCTCTGAGCGCATGTGTAGCTCTGCACCCTTAGCAGCGTTGCTAACTCCTCAGTAAGGAAAGCCTGCTTCATGTCAGAGTCTCTAAACTCCAGAAGAAGTCGATAAAAGTCCCTTTCTTTCTAAAAAAAAGTCGTTAGGGGGTCTGAAAAGTCATTGAATCTAACAACAAAGTTGCTAGGTTTGCAACTACGTGTCCCAGACTGCATCCCTGCTGAGAGTCCCTCCCTCCCTTCTCATGTTGCAGGAAGAACGTAAGCGCCCGCCCCTTGTCAATCAGTCACCATATAATTTTGGATTGGTTGTTGTGGTGAAGTTTTCCACCAATAGGAGAGATGTTGTGGTGTGTTTTTTTTTTCTTTTGGCAAGCCTTTTCCGCCTGTAAGACCTGTCGCTAATGTCTACATGCTATGTTTTCCTGTCTCATACAGCGCGATCGAGCGCCGAACATGATCAAAATAAGCAGAAAAAAAGTATCGCGGACATAATTTATCATAACTCTGGTTTTATTTGGCCTATCAACACAATTTAAAAACTGGTATATAGGTTGAGGTCCTCACTTTTGAGATAAGTTGAAACGGAGAGTCAACGAGGCTCCGTCTTGCAGCTACATCCGGTTAAATATGTCATGTGACTTGAACGCACACATAGACACACACACACGCACGCGCACACACACACACACACACACACACACACTCAGAGTCTGGTTTTTAGCACCTGCAAAAACATGCTATTTACATATTTGACAAGAATGCAGAGGCTCCTTTTGCCCCTGAAAAAAATCAAATTTCAAACACAACTTGACTGGTCATTTCTCCAAAAGACAACCATGAAGCTCCATCCAAACCTGAAGCAGGCAGTTGGTGCATGTGTACAGTAACCTGAGGGGAGTGAGGTGACTGCTTCTGAGGAGAACATGAGCAGTGAAGATTCACCTTGGAGCTAGAACAGAGACATGCACATGATTATACAGTAGCAGGGGCTCAAAGGGGGGGGGAGACGTGACACGGCTCGGGCCCGCCAGTGCCCCAACGGGGTCCTAGTTAGGGCCCGAGCCAGCTGCAGAGCAGCCGGGCGTAGAGCCCTATTATTCCTGTATAGGTTTTTCTTTCTTCTTTCTTTCTTTCTTTCTTTCTTTCTTTCTTTCTTCTTATTTTTCCTCCCCTTTGAAGGGGAAAATGGCCCACTTCCCACTGGCGAAAACTCATGAAATTTGGCAGGACGAATGGGCCTGGTGAAAAATTCGATATTCTGAAGTCGCCCAAACAATAAAATGCAAAATGGCTCCATAGCGCCCCCTAAGGTGAAAATTCACACTATTGACTGTCACGCCTTTACGCTTTGTCATATTGACACAAAAATTGACACACACATGTATCTCAATAAGATCTACAAAAAAGTCAGTGCGAGCGTATCTGTCAAATGTACGGTTAAAGGGTTATTTCGCATTTTTTGCCGATCCGCACACATTGGAATTTCGCTAACTCCTCCGAAGGCTTTCGTTCCACCGGCACCACATTTGCTCAGGCCAATCTACACCCCATGACCATTAAAAGTTGTACAAATCATGACGCTGCACCCCACGGTTTACGTTCTAGGGGGCGCCAAAGATAACCCAAAAATCCACAGTCTTAAAAGTCTTATAACTTTTTATTTTTGTCCTCACTGGCCTCCAAGTTCTCTAGGATGATGCAATGTCCAGCCATCAACACATTTGTGAAGGAATTTTTACTCGCCAAAAGAGCGCCCCCCCATGGCAGGAGAAAAAAGTCCATTTTTTCTTGTCTCCTAAGGCGAAAATTCACACTATTGACTGTCACGCCTTTACGCTTTGTCATATTGACACAAAAATTGACACACACATGTATCTCAATAAGATCTACAAAAAAGTCAGTGCGAGCGTATCTGTCAAATGTACGGTTAAAGGGCTATTTCGCATTTTTTGCCGATCCGCACACATTGGAATTTCGCTAACTCCTCCGAAGGCTTTCGTTCCAAAGGCACCACATTTGCTCAGGCCAATCTACACCCCATGGCCATTAAAAGTTGTACAAATCATGACGCTGCACCCCACGGTTTACGTTCTAGGGGGCGCCAAAGATAACCCAAAAATCCACAGTCTTAAAAGTCTTATAACTTTTTATTTTTGTCCTCACTGGCCTCCAAGTTCTCTAGGATGATGCAATGTCCAGCCATCAACACATTTGTGAAGGAATTTTTACTCGCCAAAAGAGCGCCCCCCCATGGCAGGAGAAAAAAGTCCATTTTTTCTTGTCTCCTAAGGCGAAAATACACATTGTTGACTGTCACGCCTTTACGCTTTGTCAAAATGACACAAAATTTGACACACACATGTATCTCAATAAGATCTACGAAAAAGTCAATGCGAGCGTATCTGTTCAATGTACGGTTAAAGGGCTATTTCGCATTTTTTGCCGATTCGCACACATTGGAATGTGGCTAACTCCTCCTAAATCTTTTGTCCCATCGGCTTCAAATTTGCTCAGGTCAATCTACACCCCATGGCCATTCAAAGTTGTACAAATCATGACGCTGCACCCCACAGTTTACGTTCTAGGGGGCGCCAAAGAGGACCCAAATATCCACATTTTTAAAAGTCTTATAACTTTTTATTTTTGTCCTCACTGGCCTCCAAGTTTTCTAGGATGATGCAATGTCCAGCCATCAACACATTTGTGAAGGAATTTTTTCTCCCCAAAAGAGCGCCCCCCCATGGCAGGAGAAAAAGTCAAGTTTTTCCTGCCCATCGCTCAATGGCTCAAACGCATCGCTCTCTCGGCAAAACCGAAAGGAGGAGCAACTTGCCATTTGGATATATACTAGCTGTGTTTGTGCCCTCACTCATGGTCCAGACTTTTTTCAAAAAGGACATGGAGTTTGTCTGCAGCGAGCGTTTTGGTAGAAACTGCGCCTCCCATTCATTATAATGGTAAATGACCACAGACAAGTGCGCACACCATCTTTGGACCTTGAGTGTGACGCGATCGGGAGGGGTAGGCGGTCGCGCTGGGGGCGGCGCGACACGGCTCGGGCCCGCCAGTGCCCCAACGGGGCCCTAGTTCGTTATTATTTTTCCTCCGCTTTAAACTGGAAAATGGCCCACTTCCCACTGGCGAAAACTCAGGAAATTTGGCAGGACGACCGGGCCTGGTGAAAAATTCGATATTCTGAAGTCGCCCAAACAATAAAATGCAAAATGGCTCCATAGCGCCCCCTAAGGTGAAAATTCACATGACGGCTGTACGCTTTGTCATATTGACACAAAAATTGACACACACGTGTATCTCAATAAGATCTACAAAAAAGTCAGTGTGGGCGTATCTGTCAAATGTACGGTTAATGGGTTATTTTTCATTTTTTGCAGATCTGCACACATTGGAATTTCGCTAACTCCTCCGAAGGCTTTCGTTCGACCGGCACCACATTTGCGCAGGCCAATCTACACCCCATGGCCATTAAAAGTTGTACAAATCATGACGCTGCACCCCACGGTTTATGTTCTAGGGGGCGCCAAAGATAACCCAAAAATCCACATTCTTAAAAGTGTTATAACTTTTTACTTTTGTCCTCACTGGCCTCCAAGTTTTCTAGGATGATGCAATGTCCAGCCATCAACACATTTGTGAAGGAATTTTTACTCCCCAAAAGAGCGCCCCCCAATGGCAGGAGAAAAAGGTCCATTTTTTCTTGTCTCCAAAGGTCAAAATACACATTGTCGAGTGTCACGCCTGTATGCTTTGTCATATTGACACAAAATTTGACAATCACGTGTATCTCAATAAGATCTACGAAAAAGTCAAAGGGCATGTATCTGTCAAATGTACGGTTAAAGGGCTATTTTGCATTTTTTGCTGATCCGCACACATTGGAATTTCACTAACTCCTCCGAAGGCTATCTTTCCACCGGCACCAAATTTGCTCAGGCCAATCTACACCCCATGGCCATTAAAAGTTGTACAAATCATCTTGCTGCACCCCACGGTTTGGGTTCTAGGGGGCACCAAATATAACCCAAAAATCCACATTCTTAAAAGTGTTATAACTTTTTATTTTTTTCCATACTGGCCTCCAAGTTTTTTAGGATGATGCAATGTCCAGCCATCAACACATTTGTGAAGAAATTTTTACTCCCCAAAAGAGCGCCCCCCCATGGCAGGAGAAAAAAGTCCATTTTTTCTTATCCCGAAAGGTGAAAATACACGTTGTTGAGTGTCACGCCTTTACGCTTTGTCATATTGACAAAAAAATTGACAATCATGTGTATCTCAATTAGATCTACGAAAAAGTCAAAGAGCGCGTATCTGTATAATGTACGGTTAAAGGGCTATTTTGCATTTTTTGCCGATTCGCACACATTGGAATGTGGCTATCTCCTCCTAAGGCTTTCGTCCCACCGATACCAAATTTGCTCAGGGCAATCTACACCCCATGCCCATTCAAAGTTGTAAAAATCATGACGCTGCACCCCACGGTTTACGTTCTAGGGGGCGCCAAAGATGACCCAAAAATCCACATTCTTAAAAGTCATTTTGGCCACTGCAGGAGTACAGAGTACTGCAGTTCTAGGGGGCGCCAAAGATGACCCAAAAATCCACATTCTTAAAAGTCTTTTTGGCCACTGCAGGAGTACAGAGTACTGCAGGATACACACACATATACACACACGCCAACACACACACACACACACACACACACACACACACACACACACACACACACACACACTCAGAGTCTGTTTTTAAGCACCTGCAAAAACATGCTGTTTACATATTTGACAAGAATGCAGAGGCTTCCTTTTGCCCCTGAAAAAAATCAAATTTCAAACACAACTTGACTGTTCATTTCTCCAAAAGACAACCATGAAGCTCCATTTCAAACCTGAAGCAGATAGTTGGTGCATGTGTACAGTAACCTGAGGGGAGTGAGGTGACTATTTCTGAGGAGAACATAAGCAGTGAAGATTCACCTTGGAGCTAGAACAGGGACGTGCACATGATTATACAGGGGCAGGGGCTCAAGTTTTTTCCAGTCATTTATACAATTTGGAAATTAATGTGAAATTAAACCACAAATATGTGTGATGAACTGTTTTTAAAACTTAAACTTCAAATAAAAATTGTAAACTTCAAAACATATGCAAATTTTTAACAAAGAACATAGTAATTTACCTCTATTTACATCAAAATGCAGGCAATGGCCCAGGCGTTCTTTGTAAAATTATTTACAAAACACTGTATAGTCTCACAAATGTCACTTTTTATTTATGCCACTACAAAAAAACATGATGTAAATGATGCATGATGTAAAACATGATGTAAAAAACTTGTGTAGATCCTCCTCTATGTTAGTCCATGTGTAATTTTTCCATAATTCTTTGTTTTTTGCAGCATTTTTGTTAGTGTAACTGCAGATTGTGCTGACAGTGTCTATGGCAAAAAAAAAAAAAACTGAAAATGCCTCAACATGAACCCCTGGTGGTCTCTGAGGGTGAAACCTGCTAACTGCTGCAGCTCTGTCAGCTTTAGTCTCCCATGCAGAGCTCGGAGCGCATGTGTGGCTCTGCACCCTTAGCAGCGTTGCTAACTCCTCAGTAAGGAAAGCCTGCTTCATGTCAGAGTCTCTAAACTCCAGAAGAAGTCGATAAAAGTCCCTTTCTTTCTAAAAAAAAGTCGTTAGGGGGTCTGAAAAGTCATTGAATCTAACAACAAAGTCGCTAGGTTTGCAACTACGTGTCCCAGACTGCATCCCTGCTGAGAGTTCCTCCCTCCCTTCTCATGTTGCAGGAAGAACGTAAGCGCCCGCCCCTTGTCAATCAGTCACCATATAATTTTGGATTGGTTGTTGTGGTGAAGTTTTCCACCAATAGGAGAGATGTTGTGGTGTGTTTTTTTTTTCTTTGGCAAGCCTTTTCCGCCTGTAAGACCTGTCGCTAATGTCTGCATGCTATGTTTTCCTGTCTCATACAGCGCGATCGAGCGCCGAACGTGATCAAAATAAGCAGAAAAAAAGTATCGCGGACATAATTTATCATAACTCTGGTTTTATTTGGCCTATCAACACAATTTGAAAACTGGTGTATAGTTTGAGGTCCTCACTTTTGAGATAAGTTGAAACGGAGAGTCAACGAGGCTCCGTCTTGCTGCTACATCCGGTTAAATATGTAATGTGACTTGAACGCTGGGGAGCGTCAATCGACTGCAGAGCCAGCAGACAAAGTAGTTGTGGCCACTGAAAGGCACATATTTGTCATATGCTATAATCCTAACATATTTTAATGCTTTTTCTATTTAAACCTAATGGATCTAAGGTTTGACCTTCAAAATTTAGGAAGAATATGTTTTTGCAGTAATGACCCCGTTAAACAACCAGAGGTCCTTTCCTAAAGTTTATGGAAATTTTAGTGAAGGCCTTGGTTTCTTTCCTTGCAAAATGTATAGAAATAATAAAGCTAAATTCCATAAAAAGGTCTTGGCGTATTAGCAGTGATATAAAATAGTGGTTTGAATATGAATGAACAACAACAAAAAAAAAACATCAACAGAGCCTTTTTGAGTTGGGATTCTTTCATTATCACACAAAAACAGACATAGACAGACATCTAAAGGGTAAGGGAATGATCAGCCCTCCTAACTCTCAGATGAATCTTCAAAATTCACCTCAGAAATATGCTTATTATTCTTCTCAGAGTACTGCAGGATATACACACACACACTCAGAGTCTTTTTTTTAGCACCTGCAAAAACATGCTATTTACATATTTGACTAGAATGCAGAGGCCCCTTTTTGCCCCTGAAAAAAATCAAATTTCAAACACAACTTGACTGCTCATTTCTCCAAAAGACAACCATGAAGCTCCATCCAAACCTGAAGCAGGCAGTTGGTGCATGTGTACAGTCACCTGAGGAAAGTGAGGTGACTACTTCTGAGGAGAACATGAGCAGTGAAGATTCACCTTGGAGCTAGAACAGAGACGTGCACATGATTATACAGGGGCAGGGGCTCAAGTTTTTTCCAGTCATTTATACAATATTGAAATTAATGTGAAATTAAAAAACAAGTATTAATAGAAAGGTTATGACTGTCCTGTGTAGATGACAGTGATATCCAATAGGCTAGGCACTCACGAGGCTGGCTGTGGCAAGTGTAAGTGAAAGCAACACGCACTGGCAGGAAGAACAGCAAACGCCGATGAAGGAAAGAGTCTTTGCAGTGATGGGCGTTACCAGAGAGGGCGATGGCCAGAGGACGCGAATGGGACGGGGAGGCAGCGCGTTGGGGGGGGGCAGCGGGACACGGCTCGGGCCCGCCAGTGCCCCAACGGGGCCCTAGTTCTTCTTTTTCCTCCCCTTTGAACTGGAAAATGGCCCACTTCCCACCCGCGAAAACTCATGAAATTTGGCAGGACGACCGGGCCTGGTGAAAAATTTGATATTCCGAAGTCGCCCAAACAAGAAAATGCAAAATGGCTCCATAGCGCCCCCTAAGGTGAAAATTCACACTATTGACTGTCACGCCTGTACGCTTTGTCAAAATGACACAAAAATTGACACACACATGTATCTCAATAAGATCTACAAAAAAGTCAGTGCGGCCATATCTGTCAAATGTACGGTTAAAGGGTTATTTCGCATTTTTTGCCGATCCGCACACATTGGAATTTCGCTAACTCCTCCGAAGGCTTTCGTTCCACCGGCACCACATTTGCTCAGGCCAATCTACACCCCATGGCCATTAAAAGTTATTCAAATCATGACGCTGCACCCCACGGTTTAGGTTCTAGGGGGCGCCAAAGATAACCCTAAGATCCACATATTTAAAAGTCTTATAACTTTTTATTTTTGCCCTCACTGGCCTCCAAGTTTTCTAGGATGATGCAATGTCCAGCCATCAACACATTTGTGAAGGAATTTTTACTCCCCAAAAGAGCGCCCCCCCATGGCAGGAGAAAAAAGTCCATTTTTTCTTGTCCCCTAAGGTGAAAATACACATTGTTGAGTGTAACACCTGTACGCTTTGGCAAAATGACACCAAAATTGAGACACACATGTATCTCAATAAGATCTACAAAAAAGTCAGTGCGCACGTATCTGTCAAATGTACGGTTAAAGGGTTATTCCGCATTTTTTGCCGATCCGCACACATTGGAATTTCGCTAACTCCTCCGAAGGCTTTCGTTCCACCGGCACCACATTTTCTCAGGCCAATCTACACCCCATGGCCATTAAAAGTTATTCAAATCATGACGCTGCACCCCACGGTTTAGGTTCTAGGGGGCGCCAAAGATAACCGTAAAATCCACATATTTAAAAGTCTTATAACTTTTTATTTTTGTCCCCACTGGCCTCCAAGTTTTCTAGGATGATGCAATGTCCAGCCATCAACACATTTGTGAAGGAATTTTTACTCCCCAAAAGAGCGCCCCCCCATGGCAGGAGAAAAAAGTCCATTTTTTCTTGTCCACTAAGGTGAAAATACACATTGTTGAGTGCTACGCATGTATGTTTTGTCGTATTGACACAAAATTTTACATACACGTGTCTTTCAATAAGATCTTCGAAAAAGTCAATGGCCACGTATCTGTAAAATGTACGGTTAAAGGGTTATTTCGCATTTTTTGCAGATTCGCACACATTGGAATTTCGCTAACTCCTCCGAAGGCTTTCGTTCCACCGGCACCACATTTGCTCAGGCCAATCTACACCCCATGGCCATTAAAAGTTATTCAAATCATGACGCTGCACCCCACGGTTTAGGTTCTAGGGGGCGCCAAAGATAACCCTAAAATCCACATATTTAAAAGTCTTATAACTTTTTATTTTTGTCCTCACTGGCCTCCATGTTTTCTAGGATGATGCAATGTCCAGCCATCAACACATTTGTGAAGGAGTTTTTTCTCGTTAAAAGAGCGCCCCCCCATGGCAGGAGAATAAAGTCAAGTTTTTCCTGTTCATCATTCAATGGCTCAAACGCACTGCTCTCTCGGCAAAAGCGAAAGGAGGAGCAACTTGCCATTTGGATATATCTTAGCTGTGTTTGTGCCCTCACTCATGGTCCAGACTTTTTTCAAATAGGACATGGAGTTTTTCTGCAGCGAGCGTTTTGGTAGAAACTGCGCCTCCCGTTCATTATAATGGTAAATGACCACAAACAAGTGCGCACACCATCTTTGGACCTTGAGTGTGACGCGATCGGGTGGGGGAGGCGGTCGTGCTGGGGGCGGCGTGACACGGCTCGGGCCCGCCAGTGCCCCAACGGGGCCCTAGTTCTTCTTTTTCCTCCCCTTTGAACTGGAAAATGGCCCACTTCCCACTGGCGAAAACTCATGAAATTTGGCAGGACGACCGGGCCTGGTGAAAAATTTTATATTCTGAAGTCGCCCAAACAATAAAATGCAAAATGGCTCCATAGCGCCCCCTAAGGTGGAAATTCACACTATTGACTGTCACGCCTGTACGCTTTGTCATATTGACACAAAAATTGACACACATATGTATCTCAATAAGATCTACAAAAAAGTCAGTGCGGCCGTATCTGTCAAAATTACGGTTAAAGGGTTATTTCGCATTTTTTGCCGATCCGCACACATTGGAATTTCGCTAACTCCTCCGAAGGCTTTCGTTCCACCGGCACCACATTTGCTCAGGCCAATCTACACCCCGTGGCCATTAAAAGTTATCAAAATCATGACGCTGCACCCCAAGGTTTAGGTTCTAGGGGGCGCCAAAGATAACACTAAAATCCACATATTTAGAAGTCTTATAACTTTTTATTTTTGCCCTCACTGGCCTCCAAGTTTTCTAGGATGATGCAATGTCCAGCCATCAACACATTTGTGAAGGAATTTTTACTCCCCAAAAGAGCACCCCCCCATGGCAGGAGAAAAAAGTCCATTTTTTCTTGTCCCCTAAGGTGAAAATACACATTGTTGAGTGTCACGCCTATACGCTTTGTCAAAATGACACAAAAATTGACACACACATGTAACTCAATAAGATCTACGAAAAAGTCAATGCGTGCGTATCTGTCAAATGTACGGTTAAAGGGTTATTCCGCATTTTTTGCCGATCCGCACACATTGGAATGTGGCTAACTCCTCCTAAGGCTTTCGTTCCACCGGCACCACATTTGCTCAGGCCAATCTACACCCCATGGCCATTAAAAGTTATTCAAATCATGACGCTGCACCCCACGGTTTAGGTTCTAGGGGGCGCCAAAGATAACCCTAAAATCCACATATTTAAAAGTCTTATAAATTTTTATTTTTGTCCTCACTGGCCTCCAAGTTTTCTAGGATGATGCAATGTCCAGCCATCAACACATTTGTGAAGGAATTTTTACTCCCCAAAAGACAGCCCCCCATGGCAGGAGAAAAAAGTCCATTTTTTCTTGTCCCCTAAGGTGAAAATACATATTGTTGAGATTCACACCTATACGCTTTGTCATATTGACACAAAATTTGACAATCACGTGCCTTGCCTGGTATCATTTTTTTCAGCACAACCTCACCTGTGCGAATTTACAGTTATTTTATCATGTTGACATACTGAATTTACACAATGGACCCAAATTCACACACAAAACATAAAATCCGAGTGGAAAAAAGTAAAATTTTTACTGTGAAAACCACAAATATGTGTGATGAACTGTTTTTAAAACTTAAACTTCAAATAAAAATTGTAAACTTCAAAACATATGCAAATTTTTAACAAAGAACATAGTGATTTACCTCTATTTACATCAAAATGCAGGCAATGGCCCAGGCGTTCTTTGTAAAATTATTTACAAAACACTGTATAGTCTCACAAATGTCACTTTTTATTTATGCCACTACAAAAAAACATGATGTAAATGATGCATGATGTAAAACATGATGTAAAAAACTTGTGTAGATCCTCCTCTATGTCAGTCCATGTGTAATTTTTCCATAATTCTTTGTTTTTTGCAGCATTTTTGTTAGTGTAACTGCAGATTGTGCTGACAGTGTCTATGGCACAAAAAAAATAATAAATTAAAATGCCTCAACATGAACCCCTGGTGGTCTCTGAGGGTGAAACCTGCTAACTGCTGCAGCTCTGTCAGCTTCAGTCTCCCATGCAGAGCTCTGAGCGCATGTGTGGCTCTGCACCCTTAGCAGCGTTGCTAACTCCTCAGTAAGGAAAGCCTGCTTCATGTCAGAGTCTCTAAACTCCAGAAGAAGTCGATAAAAGTCCCTTTCTTTCTAAAAAAAGTCGTTAGGGGGTCTGAAAAGTCATTGAATCTAACAACAAAGTCGCTAGGTTTGCAACTACGTGTCCCAGACTGCATCCCTGCTGAGAGTCCCTCCCTCCCTTCTCATGTTGCAGGAAGAACGTAAGCGCCCGCCCCTTGTCAATCAGTCACCATATAATTTTGGATTGGTTGTTGTGGTGAAGTTTTCCACCAATAGGAGAGATGTTGTGGTGTGTTTTTTTTTTTTCTTTTGGCAAGCCTTTTCCGCCTGTAAGACCTGTCGCTAATGTCTGCATGCTATGTTTTCCTGTCTCATACAGCGCGATCGAGCGCCGAACGTGATCAAAATAAGCAGAAAAAAAGTATCGCGGACATAATTTATCATAACTCTGGTTTTATTTGGCCTATCAACACAATTTAAAAACTGGTATATAGGTTGAGGTCCTCACTTTTGAGATAAGTTGAAACGGAGAGTCAACGAGGCTCCGTCTTGCAGCTACATCCGGTTAAATATGTCATGTGACTTGAACGCACACACAGACACACACACACGCACACACACACACACACACACACACACACACACACACTCAGAGTCTGGTTTTTAGCACCTGCAAAAACATGCTATTTACATATTTGACAAGAATGCAGAGGCTCCTTTTGCCCCTGAAAAAAATCAAATTTCAAACACAACTTGACTGGTCATTTCTCCAAAAGACAACCATGAAGCTCCATCCAAACCTGAAGCAGGCAGTTGGTGCATGTGTACAGTAACCTGAGGGGAGTGAGGTGAGTGCTTCTGAGGAGAACATGAGCAGTGAAGATTCACCTTGGAGCTAGAACAGAGACATGCACATGATTATACAGGGGCAGGGGCTCAAGTTTTTTCCAGTCGTTTATACAATATGGAAATTAATGTGAAATTAAAACACAAAGTATTAATAGAAAGGTAATGACTGTCCTGTGTAGGTGACAGTGATATCCAATAGGCTAGGCACTCACGAGGCTGGCTGTGGCAAGTGTAAGTGAAAGCAACACGCACTGGCAGGAAGAACAGCAAACGCCGATGAAGGAAAAGGGTCTTTGCAGTGATGGGCGTTACCAGAGAGGGCGATGGCCAGAGGACACAAATGGGACGGGGAGGCAGCGCGTTGGGGGGGGGGGGGGGGGACACGGCTCGGGCCCGCCAGTGCCCCAACGGGGCCCTAGTTCTTTCTTTCTTTCTTCTTTTTCCTCCCCTTTGAACTGGAAAATGGCCCACTTCCCACTGGCGAAAACTCATGAAATTTGGCAGGACGACCGGGCCTGGTGAAAAATTCGATATTCTGAAGTCGCCCAAACAATAAAATGCAAAATGGCTCCATAGCGCCCCCTAAGGTGGAAATTCACACTATTGACTGTCACGCCTGTACGCTTTGTCATATTGACACAAAAATTGACACACATATGTATCTCAATAAGATCTACAAAAAAGTCAGTGCGGCTGTATCTGTAAAAATTACGGTTAAAGGGTTATTTCGCATTTTTTGCCGATCCGCACACATTGGAATTTCGCTAACTCCTCCAAAGGCTTTCGTTCCACCGGCACCACATTTGCTCAGGCCAATCTACACCCCATGGCCATTACAAGTTATCAAAATCATGACGCTGCACCCCAAGGTTTAGGTTCTAGGGGGCGCCAAAGATAACACTAAAATCCACATATTTAAAAGTCTTATAACTTTTTATTTTTGTCCTCACTGGCCTCCAAGTTTTCTAGGATGATGCAATGTCCAGCCATCAACAAATTTGTGAAGGAATTTTTACTCCCCAAAAGAGCGCCCCCCCATGGCAGGAGAAAAAAGTCAATTTTTTCTTGTCCCCTAAGGTGAAAATACACATTGTTGAGTGTCACGCCTATACGCTTTGTCAAAATGACACAAAAATTGACACACACATGTAACTCAATAAGATCTACGAAAAAGTCAATGCGCGCGTATCTGTCAAATGTACGGTTAAAGGGTTATTCCGCATTTTTTGCCGATCTGCACACATTGGAATGTGGCTAACTCCTCCGAAGGCTTTAGTTCCACCGGCACCACATTTGCTCAGGCCAATCTACACCCCATGGCCATTAAAAGTTATTCAAATCATGACGCTGCACCCCACGGTTTACGTTCTAGGGGGCGCCAAAGATAACCCTAAAATCCACATATTTAAAAGTCTTATAACTTTTTATTTTTGCCCTCACTGGCCTCCAAGTTTTCTAGGATGATGCAATGTCCAGCCATCAACACATTTGTGAAGGAATTTTTACTCCCCAAAAGAGCGCCCCCCCATGGCAGGAGAAAAAAGTCCATTTTTTCTTGTCCCCTAAGGTGAAAATACACATTGTAGAGTGTCACGCCTGTACGCTTTGTCAAAATGACACAAAATTTGACATACACGTGTATTTCAATAAGATCTTCGAAAAAGTCAATAGCCACGTATATGTAAAATGTACAGTTAAAGGGTTATTTCACATTTGTTGCAGATCCGCATACATTGGAATTTGGCTAACTCCTCCTAAGGCTTTCGTCCCACTGACACCAAATTTGCTCAGGCCAATCTACACCCCATGGCCATTCAAAGTTGTAAAAATCATGACGCTGCACCCCACGGTTTACGTTCTAGGGGGCGCCAAAGATGACCCAAATATCCACATTCTTAAAAGAATCCACACCCCCCCCCCATCCCCCATCCCCCATGGCAGGAGAAACAGTCAAGTTTTTCCTTCCCATCACTCAATGGCTCAATCGCATCACTCTCCCGGCAACACCGTAACGAGGAGCAACTTGCCGTTTGGATATATCCTAGCTGTGTTTGTGCCCTCACTCATGGTCCAGACTTTTTTCAAATAGGACATGTAGTTTGTCTGCAGCGAGTGTTTTGGTAGAAACTGCGCCTCCCATTCATTATAATGGGAAATGACCACAGACAAGTGCGCACACCATCTTTGGACCTTGAGTGTGACGCGATCGGGAGGGGGAGGCGGTCGCGCTGGGGGCGGCGCAACGCGGCTCGGGCCCGACAGTGCCCCACCGGGGTCCTAGTTTCTTTTTCCTCCCCTTTGAACTGGAAAATGGCCCACTTCCCACTGGCGAAAACTCATGAAATTTGGCAGGACGACCGGGCCTGGTGAAAAATTTGATATTCCGAAGTCGCCCAAACAAGAAAATGCAAAATGGCTCCATAGCGCCCCCTAAGGTGAAAATTCACACTATTGACTGTCACGCCTGTACGCTTTGTCAAAATGACACAAAAATTGACACACACATGTATCTCAATAAGATCTACAAAATAGTCAGTGCGGCCGTATCTGTCAAATGTACGGTTAAAGGGTTATTTCGCATTTTTTGTAGATCCGCACACATTGGAATTTCGCTAACTCCTCCGAAGGCTTTCGTTCCACCGGCACCACATTTGCTCAGGCCAATCTACACCCCATGGCCATTAAAAGTTATTCAAATCATGACGCTGCACCCCACGGTTTAGGTTCTAGGGGGCGCCAAAGATAACCCTAAAATCCACATATTTAAAAGTCTTATAACTTTTTATTTTTGCCCTCACTGGCCTCCAAGTTTTCTAGGATGATGCAATGTCCAGCCATCAACACATTTGTGAAGGAATTTTTACTCCCCAAAAGAGCGCCCCCCCATGGCAGGAGAAAAAAGTCCATTTTTTCTTGTCCCCTAAGGTGAAAATACACATTGTTGAGTGTCACGCCTGTACGCTTTGGCAAAATGACACAAAAATTGACACACACATGTATCTCAATAAGATCTACAAAAAAGTCCACGCGCGCGTATCTGTCTAATGTACGGTTAAAGGGTTATTCCGCATTTTTTGCCGATTCGCACACATTGGAATTTCGCTAACTCCTCCGAAGGCTTTCGTTCCACCGGCACCACATTTGCTCAGGCCAAATTACACCCCATGGCCATTAAAAGTTATTCAAATCATGACGCTGCACCCCACGGTTTACGTTCTAGGGGGCGCCAAAGATAACCCAAAAATCCACATTTTTAAAAGTCTTTTAACTTTTTATTTTTGTCCTCACTGGCCTCCAAGTTTTCTAGGATGATGCAATGTCCAGCCATCAACACATTTGTGAAGGAATTTTTACTCCCTAAAAGAGCGCCCCCCATGGCAGGAGAAAAAAGTCCATTTTTTCTTGTCCCCTAAGGTGAAAATACACATTGTTGAGTGTCACGCCTGTACGCTTTGGCAAAATGACACAAAAATTGACAATCATGTGTATCTCAATTAGATCTACGAAAAAGTCAAAGAGCGCGTATCTGTATAATGTACGGTAAAAGGGCTATTTTGCATTTTTTGCCAATTCGCACACATTGGAATGTGGCTAACTCCTCCTAAGGCTTTCGTCCCACTGACACCAAATTTGCTCAGGCCAATCTACACTCCATGGCCATTCAAAGTTGTAAAAATCATGACGCTGCACCCCACGGTTTACGTTTTAGGGGGCGCCAAAGATGACCCAAATATACATTACAGTAGACAAAGTAGTTTTGCCCACTGAGTGGCGCCAAAGGGACTTGTCTGTGGAGTCTGTGAGTCACTATTGGCCGTTTTTGACTACTTTAGATTTTACCTTTATATTTCCTCTTACAAAATTTTTACCTTGCCTTGCCTGGTATCATTTTTTTCAGCACAACCTCACCTGTCTCAATTTACAGTTATTTTATCATTTTGACATACTATATTTACACATTGGACCCAAATTCACACACAAAACATAAAATCCGAGTGGAAAAAAGTAACGTTTTTACTGTGAAAACCACAAATATGTGTGATGAACTGTTTTTAAAACTTAAACTTCAAATAAAAATTGTAAACTTCAAAACATATGCAAATTTTTAACAAAGAACATAGTAATTTACCTCTATTGACATCAAAATGCAGGCAATGGCCCAGGTGTTCTTTGTAAAATTATTTACAAAACACTGTATAGTCTCACAAATGTCACTTTTTATTTATGCCACTACAAAAAAACATGATGTAAATGATGCATGATGTAAAACATGATGTAAAAAACTTGTGTAAATCCTCCTCTATGTTAGTCCATGTGTAATTTTTCCATAATTCTTTGTTTTTTGCAGCATTTTTGTTAGTGTAACTGCAGATTGTGCTGACAGTGTCTATGGCAAAAAAAAAAAAAAAAACTGAAAATGCCTCAACATGAACCCCTGGTGGTCTCTGAGGGTGAAACCTGCTAACTGCTGCAGCTCTGTCAGCTTCAGTCTCCCATGCAGAGCTCGGAGCGCATGTGTGGCTCTGCACCCTTAGCAGTGTTGCTAACTCCTCAGTAAGGAAAGCCTGCTTCATGTCAGAGTCTCTAAACTCCAGAAGAAGTCGATAAAAGTCCCTTTCTTTCTAAAAAAAAGTCGTTAGGGGGTCTGAAAAGTCATTGAATCTAACAACAAAGTCGCTAGGTTTGCAACTACGTGTCCCAGACTGCATCCCTGCTGAGAGTCCCTCCCTCCCTTCTCATATTGCAGGAAGAACGTAAGTTCCCGCCCCTTGTCAATCAGTCACCATATAATTTTGGATTGGTTGTTGTGGTGAAGTTTTCCACCAATAGGAGAGATGTTGTGGTGTGTTTTTTTTTTCCTTTGGCAAGCCTTTTCCGCCTGTAAGACCTGTCGCTAATGTCTGCATGCTATGTTTTCCTGTCTCATACAGCGCGATCGAGCGCCGAACGTGATCAAAATAAGCAGAAAACAAGTATCGCGGACATAATTTATCATAACTCTGGTTTTATTTGGCCTATCAACACAATTTAAAAACTGGTATATAGGTTGAGGTCCTCACTTTTGAGATAAATTGAAACGGAGAGTCAACGAGGCTCCGTCTTGCAGCTACATCCGGTTAAATATGTCATGTGACTTGAACGCACACACACACACACACACACACACACAGACACACACACACACGCACACACACACACACTCAGAGTCTGGTTTTTAGCACCTGAAAAAACATGCTATTTACATATTTGACAAGAATGCAGAGGCTCCTTTTGCCCCTGAAAAAAATCAAATTTCAAACACAACTTGACTGGTCATTTCTCCAAAAGACAACCATGAAGCTCCATCCAAACCTGAAGCAGGCAGTTGGTGCATGTGTACAGTTACCTGAGGGGAGTGAGGTGACTGCTTCTGAGGAGAACATGAGCAGTGAAGATTCACCTTAGAGCTAGAACAGAGACGTGCACATGATTATACAGGGGCAGGGGCTCAAGTTTTTTCCAGTTGTTTATACAATATGGAAATTAATGTGAAATTAAAAAACAAAGTATTAATAGAAAGGTAATGACTGTCCTGTGTAGGTGACAGTGATATCCAATAGGCTAGGCACTCACGAGGCTGGCTGTGGCAAGTGTAAGTGAAAGCAACACGCACTGGCAGGAAGAACAGCAAACGCAGATGAAGGAAAAGGGTCTTTGCAGTGATGGGCGTTACCAGAGAGGGCGATGGCCAGAGGACACAAATGGGACGGGGAGGCAGCGCGTTGGGGGGGGGACGCGACACAGCTCGGGCCCGCCAGTGCCCCAACGGGGTCCTAGTCTTTGTTTCTTTCTTTCTTTCTTTAGGGCCCGAGCGTAGCTGCTAAGCAGCTGCGAGAGCCCTCTTGTTCCTGCATGTTTCCTTCTTTTGTTATTATTAGGGCCCGAGCGTAGCTGCTAAGCAGCTGCGAGAGCCCTATTATTCCCCAAGTGGTTTTTCTTTGTTTCTTTTTAGGGCCCGAGCGTAGCTGCTAAGCAGCTGCGAGAGCCCTATTATTCCCCAAGAGGTTTTTCTTTGTTTCTTTCTTTCTTCTTTTTCCTCCCCTTTGAACTGGAAAATGGCCCACTTCCCACTGGCGAAAACTCATGAAATTTGGCAGGATGACCGGGCCTGGTGAAAAATTTGATATTCCGAAGTCGCCCAAACAAGAAAATGCAAAATGGCTCCATAGCGCCCCCTAAGGTGAAAATTCACACTATTGACTGTCACGCCTTTACGCTTTGTCAAAATGACACAAAAATTGACACACATATGTATCTCGATAAGATCTACAAAAAAGTCAGTGCGGGCGTATCTGTCAAATGTACGGTTAAAGGGTTATTCCGCATTTTTTGCCGATCCGCACACATTGGAATTTCGCTAACTCCTCCGAAGGCTTTCTTTCCACCGGCACCACATTTGCTCAGGCCAATCTACACCCCATGGCCATTAAAAGTTATTCAAATCATGACGCTGCACCCCACGGTTTAGGTTCTAGGGGGCGCCAAAGATAACCCTAAAATCCACATATTTAAAAGTCTTATAACTTTTTATTTTTGCCCTCACTGGCCTCCAAGTTTTCTAGGATGATGCAATGTCCAGCCATCAACACATTTGTGAAGGAATTTTTACTCCCCAAAAGAGCGCCCCCCCATGGCAGGAGAAAAAAGTCCATTTTTTCTTGTCCCCTAAGGTGAAAATACACATTGTTGAGATTCACGCCTATACGCTTTGTCAAAATGACACAAAAATTGACACACACATGTAACTCAATAAGATCTACGAAAAAGTCAACGCGCGCGTATCTGTCAAATGTACGGTTAAAGGGTTATTCGGCATTTTTTGCCGATCCGCACACATTGGAATGTGGCTAACTTCTCCTAAGGCTTTCGTTCCACCGGCACCACATTTGCTCAGGACAATCTACACCCCATGGCCATTAAAAGTTATTCAAATCATGACGCTGCACCCCACGGTTTAGGTTCTAGGGGGCGCCAAAGATAACCCTAAAATCCACATATTTAAAAGTCTTATAACTTTTTATTTTTGTCCTCACTGGCCTCCAAGTTTTCTAGGATGATGCAATGTCCAGCCATCAACACATTTGTGAAGGAATTTTTACTCCCCAAAAGAGCGCCCCCCATGGCAGGAGAAAAAAGTCCATTTTTTCTTGTCCCCTAAGGTGAAAATACATATTGTTGAGATTCACGCCTATACGCTTTGTCATATTGACACAAAATTTGACAATCACGTGCCTTGCCTGGTATCATTTTTTTCAGCACAACCTCACCTGTGCGAATTTACAGTTATTTTATCATGTTGACATACTGAATTTACACAATGGACCCAAATTCACACACAAAACATAAAATCCGAGTGGAAAAAAGTAACATTTTTACTGTGAAAACCACAAATATGTGTGATGAACTGTTTTTAAAACTTAAACTTCAAATAAAAATTGTAAACTTCAAAACATATGCAAATTTTTAACAAAGAACATAGTGATTTACCTCTATTTTCATCAAAATGCAGGCAATGGCCCAGGCGTTCTTTGTAAAATTATTTACAAAACACTGTATAGTCTCACAAATGTCACTTTTTATTTATGCCACTACAAAAAAACATGATGTAAATGATGCATGATGTAAAACATGATGTAAAAAACTTGTGTAGATCCTCCTCTATGTCAGTCCATGTGTAATTTTTCCATAATTCTTTGTTTTTTGCAGCATTTTTGTTAGTGTAACTGCAGATTGTGCTGACAGTGTCTATGGCACAAAAAAAAAAAAAAATTAAAATGCCTCAACATGAACCCCTGGTGGTCTCTGAGGGTGAAACCTGCTAACTGCTGCAGCTCTGTCAGCTTCAGTCTCCCATGCAGAGCTCTGAGCGCATGTGTGGCTCTGCACCCTTAGCAGCGTTGCTAACTCCTCAGTAAGGAAAGCCTGCTTCATGTCAGAGTCTCTAAACTCCAGAAGAAGTCGATAAAAGTCCCTTTCTTTCTAAAAAAAGTCGTTAGGGGGTCTGAAAAGTCATTGAATCTAACAACAAAGTCGCTAGGTTTGCAACTACGTGTCCCAGACTGCATCCCTGCTGAGAGTCCCTCCCTCCCTTCTCATGTTGCAGGAAGAACGTAAGCACCCGCCCCTTGTCAATCAGTCACCATATAATTTTGGATTGGTTGTTGTGGTGAAGTTTTCCACCAATAGGAGAGATGTTGTGGTGTGTTTTTTTTTTCTTTTGGCAAGCCTTTTCCGCCTGTAAGACCTGTCGCTAATGTCTGCATGCTATATGTTTTCCTGTCTCATACAGCGCGATCGAGCGCCGAACGTGATCAAAATAAGCAGAAAAAAAGTATCGCGGACATAATTTATCATAACTCTGGTTTTATTTGGCCTATCAACACAATTTAAAAACTGGTATATAGGTTGAGGTCCTCACTTTTGAGATAAGTTGAAACGGAGAGTCAACGAGGCTCCGTCTTGCAGCTACATCCGGTTAAATATGTCATGTGACTTGAACGCACACACACACACGCACACACACACACACACACACACACACACACACACACACACACACACACACTCAGAGTCTGGTTTTTAGCACCTGCAAAAACATGCTATTTACATATTTGACAAGAATGCAGAGGCTCCTTTTGCCCCTGAAAAAAATCAAATTTCAAACACAACTTGACTGGTCATTTCTCCAAAAGACAACCATGAAGCTCCATCCAAACCTGAAGCAGGCAGTTGGTGCATGTGTACAGTAACCTGAGGGGAGTGAGGTGAGTGCTTCTGAGGAGAACATGAGCAGTGAAGATTCACCTTGGAGCTAGAACAGAGACATGCACATGATTATACAGGGGCAGGGGCTCAAGTTTTTCCAGTCGTTTATACAATATGGAAATTAATGTGAAATTAAAACACAAAGTATTAATAGAAAGGTAATGACTGTCCTGTGTAGGTGACAGTGATATCGAATAGGCTAGGCACTCACGAGGCTGGCTGTGGCAAGTGTAAGTGAAAGCAACACGCACTGGCAGGAAGAACAGCAAACGCCGATGAAGGAAAAGGGTCTTTGCAGTGATGGGCGTTACCAGAAAGGGCGATGGCCAGAGGACACAAATGGGACGGGAAGGCAGCACGTTGGGGGGGGGGGGACGCGATATGGCTCGGGCCCGCCAGTGCCGCAACGGGGTCCTAGTTTCTTTTTCCTCCCCTTTGAACTGGAAAATGGCCCACTTCCCACTGGCGAAAACTCATGAAATTTGGCAGGACGACCGGGCCTGGTGAAAAATTTGATATTCTGAAGTCGCCCAAACAATACAATGCAAAATGGCTCCATAGCGCCCCCTAAGGTGAAAAATTCACCTGACGCCTGTACGCTTTGTCAAAATGACACAAAAATTGACACACACATGTATCTCAATAAGATCTACAAAAAAGTCAGTGCGGGCGTATCTGTCAAATGTACGGTTAAAGGGTTATTGCGCATTTTTTGCCGATCCGCACACATTGGAATTTCGCTAACTCCTCCGAAGGCTTTCGTTCCACCGGCACCACATTTGCTCAGGCCAATCTACACCCCATGGCCATTAAAAGTTATTCAAATCATGACGCTGCACCCCACGGTTTAGGTTCTAGGGGGCGCCAAAGATAACCCTAAAATCCACATATTTAAAAGTCTTATAACTTTTTATTTTTGCCCTCACTGGCCTCCAAGTTTTCTAGGATGATGCAATGTCCAGCCATCAACACATTTGTGAAGGAATTTTTACTCCCCAAAAGAGCGCCCCCCCATGGCAGGAGAAAAAAGTCCATTTTTTCTTGTCCCATAAGGTGAAAATTCACACTATTGACTGTCACGCCTGTACGCTTTGTCAAAATGACACAAAAATTGACACACACATGTATCTCAATAAGATCTACAAAAAAGTCAGTGCGGGCGTATCTGTCAAATGTACGGTTAAAGGGTTATTGCGCATTTTTTGCCGATCCGCACACATTGGAATTTCGCTAACTCCTCCGAAGGCTTTAGTTCCACCGCCACCAAATTTGCTCAGGCCAATCTACACCCCATGGCCATTAAAAGTTATTCAAATCATGACGCTGCACCCCACGGTTTAGGTTCTAGGGGGCGCCAAAGATAACCCTAAAATCCACATATTTAAAAGTCTTATAACTTTTTATTTTTGTCCTCTCTGGCCTCCAAGTTTTCTAGGATGATGCAATGTCCAGCCATCAACACATTTGTGAAGGAATTATGTTTCCCTAAAAGAGCGCCCCCCCATGGCAGGAGAAAAAAGTCCATTTTTTCTTGTCCCATAAGGTGAAAATACACATTGTTGACTGTCATACCTGTATGCTTTGTCATATTGACACAAAATTTGACACACACATGTATCTCAATAAGATCTACGAAAAAGTCAATGCGCGTGTATCTGTAAAATGTACGGTTAAAGGGCTATTTTGCATTTTTTGCCGATTAGCACACATTGGAATGTGGCTAACTCCTCCTAAGGCTTTCGTCCCACTGAAACCAAATTTGCTCAGGCCAATCTACACCCCATGGCCATTCAAAGTTGTAAAAATCATGACGCTGCACCCCACGGTTTACGTTCTAGGGGGCGCCAAAGATGACCCAAATATCCACATTCTTAAAAGAATCCACATCCCCCCCCCCCCCCCCCCCATCCCCCATCCCCCATCCCCCATCCCCCATGGCAGGAGAAACAGTCAAGTTTTTCCTGCCCATCACTCAATGGCTCAATTGCATTGCTCTCCCGGCAACACCGTAACGAGGAGCAACTTGCCGTTTGGATATATCCTAGCTGTGTTTGTGCCCTCACTCATGGCCCAGACTTTTTTCAAATAGGACATGTAGTTTGTCTGCAGCGAGTGTTTTGGTAGAAACTGCGCCTCCCATTCATTATAATGGGAAATGACCACAGACAAGTGCGCACACCATCTTTGGACCTTGAGTGTGACGCGATCGGGAGGGGGAGGCGGTCGCACTGGGGGCGGCGCAACGCGGCTCGGGCCCGCCAGTGCCCCAACGGGGCCCTAGTTATTATTTTTCCTCCCCTTTGAACTGGAAAATGGCCCACTTCCCACTGGCGAAAACTCATGAAATTTGGAAGGACGACCGGGCCTGGTGAAAAATTTGATATTCCGAAGTCGCCCAAACAAGAAAATGCAAAATGGCTCCATAGCGCCCCCTAAGGTGAAAATTCACACTATTGACTGTCACGCCTGTACGCTTTGTCAAAATGACACAAAAATTGACACACACATGTATCTCAATAAGATCTACAAAAAAGTCAGTGCGGGCGTATCTGTCAAATGTACGGTTAAAGGGTTATTTCGCATTTTTTGCCGATCCGCACACATTGGAATTTCGCTAACTCCTCCGAAGGCTTTCGTTCCACCGGCACCACATTTGCTCAGGCCAATCTACACCCCATGGCCATTAAAAGTTATTCAAATCATGACGCTGCACCCCACGGTTTAGGTTCTAGGGGGCGCCAAAGATAACCCTAAGATCCACATATTTAAAAGTCTTATAACTTTTTATTTTTGTCCCCACTGGCCTCCAAGTTTTCTAGGATGATGCAATGTCCAGCCATCAACACATTTGTGAAGGAATTTTTACTCCCCAAAAGCGCGCCCCACCATGGCAGGAGAAAAAAGTCCATTTTTTCTTGTCCCCTAAGGTGAAAATACACATTGTTGAGTGTAACACCTGTACGCTTTGGCAAAATGACACCAAAATTGACACACACATGTATCTCAATAAGATCTACAAAAAAGTCAATGCGCGCTTATCTGTCAAATGTACGGTTAAAGGGTTATTCCGCATTTTTTGCCGATCCGCACACATTGGAATTTCGCTAACTCCTCCGAAGGCTTTGGTTCCACCGGCACCACATTTGCTCAGGCCAATCTACACCCCATGGCCATTAAAAGTTATTCAAATCATGACGCTGCACCCCACGGTTTAGGTTCTAGGGGGCGCCAAAGATAACCCTAAGATCCACATATTTAAAAGTCTTATAACTTTTTATTTTTGTCCCCACTGGCCTCCAAGTTTTCTAGGATGATGCAATGTCCAGCCATCAACACATTTGTGAAGGAATTTTTACTCCCCAAAAGAGCGCCCCACCATGGCAGGAGAAAAAAGTCCATTTTTTCTTGTCCCCTAAGGTGAAAATACACATTGTTGAGTGTAACACCTGTACGCTTTGGCAAAATGACACAAAAATTGACACACACATGTATCTCAATAAGATCTACAAAAAAGTCAATGCGCGCGTATCTGTCAAATGTACGGTTAAAGGGTTATTCCGCATTTTTTGCCGATCCGCACACATTGGAATTTCGCTAACTCCTCCGAAGGCTTTGGTTCCACCGGCACCACATTTGCTCAGGCCAATCTACACCCCATGGCCATTAAAAGTTATTCAAATCATGACGCTGCACCCCACGGTTTAGGTTCTAGGGGGCGCCAAAGATAACCCTAAAATCCACATATTTAAAAGTCTTATAACTATTTATTTTTGTCCTCACTGGCCTCCATGTTTTCTAGGATGATGCAATGTCCAGCCATCAACACATTTGTGAAGGAGTTTTTTCTCGTTAAAAGAGCGCCCCCCCATGGCAGGAGAATAAAGTCAAGTTTTTCCTGTTCATCATTCAATGGCTCAAACGCACTGCTCTCTCGGCAAAAGCGAAAGGAGGAGCAACTTGCCATTTGGATATATCTTAGCTGTGTTTGTGACCTCACTCATGGTCCAGACTTTTTTCAAATAGGACATGGAGTTTTTCTGCAGCGAGCGTTTTGGTAGAAACTGCGCCTCCCATTCATTATAATGGTAAATGACCACAAACAAGTGCGCACACCATCTTTGGACCTTGAGTGTGACGCGATCGGGTGGGGGAGGCGGTCGCGCTGGGGGCGGCGTGACACGGCTCGGGCCCGCCAGTGCCCCAACGGGGCCCTAGTTAGGGCCCGAGCCAGCTGCAGAGCAGCCGGGCGTAGGCCCTATTATTCCCCAAGTGGTTTTTCTTTGTTTCTTTCTTTCTTTCTTTCTTTCTTCTTTTTCCTCCCCTTTGAACTGGAAAATGGCCCACTTCCCACTGGCGAAAACTCATGAAATTTGGCAGGACGACCGGGCCTGGTGAAAAATTCGATATTCTGAAGTCGCCCAAACAATAAAATGCAAAATGGCTCCATAGCGCCCCCTAAGGTGGAAATTCACACTATTGACTGTCACGCCTGTACGCTTTGTCATATTGACACAAAAATTGACACACATATGTATCTCAATAAGATCTACAAAAAAGTCAGTGCGGCCGTATCTGTCAAAATTACGGTTAAAGGGTTATTTCGCATTTTTTGCCGATCCGCACACATTGGAATTTCGCTAACTCCTCCGAAGGCTTTCGTTCCACCGGCACCACATTTGCTCAGGCCAATCTACACCCCGTGGCCATTAAAAGTTATCAAAATCATGACGCTGCACCCCAAGGTTTAGGTTCTAGGGGGCGCCAAAGATAACACTAAAATCCACATATTTAAAAGTCTTATAACTTTTTATTTTTGTCCTCACTGGCCTCCAAGTTTTCTAGGATGATGCAATGTCCAGCCATCAACACATTTGTGAAGGAATTTTTACTCCCCAAAAGAGCGCCCCCCCATGGCAGGAGAAAAAAGTCCATTTTTTCTTGTCCCCTAAGGTGAAAATACACATTGTTGAGTGTCACGCCTATACGCTTTGTCAAAATGACACAAAAATTGACACACACATGTAACTCAATCAGATCTACAAAAAAGTCCATGCGCGCGTATCTGTCAAATGTACAGTTAAAGGGTTATTCCGCATTTTTTGCCGATACGCACACATTGGAATTTCGCTAACTCCTCCGAAGGCTTTCGTTCCACCGGCACCACATTTGCTCAGGCCAATCTACACCCCATGGCCATTAAAAGTTATTCAAATCATGATGCTGCACCCCATGGTTTAGGTTCTAGGGGGCGCCAAAAATAACCCAAAAATCCACATTCTTAAATGTTTTATAACTTTTTATTTTTGTCCTCACTGGCCTCCAAGTTTTCTAGGATGATGCAATGTCCAGCCATCAACACATTTGTGAAGGAATTTTTACTCCCCAAAAGAGCGCCCCCCATGGTAGGAGAAAAAAGTCAATTTTTTCTTGTCCCCTTACATGAAAATACACATTGTTGAGTGTCACGCCTGAACGCTTTGTCATATTGACACAAAAATTGACAATCATGTGTATCTCAATTAGATCTACGAAAAAGTCAAAGAGCGCGATCTTTATAATGTACGGTTAAAGGGCTATTTTGCATTTTTTGCCGATTCGCACACATTGGAATGTGGCTATCTCCTCCTAAGGCTTTCGTCCCACCGATACCAAATTTGCTCAGGGCAATCTACACCCCATGCCCATTCAAAGTTGTAAAAATCATGACGCTGCACCCCACGGTTTACGTTCTAGGGGGCGCCAAAGATGACCCAAAAATCCACATTCTTAAAAGTCATTTTGGCCACTGCAGGAGTACAGAGTACTGCAGTTCTAGGGGGCGCCAAAGATGACCCAAAAATCCACATTCTTAAAAGTCTTTTTGGCCACTGCAGGAGTACAGAGTACTGCAGGATACACACACATATACACACACGCCAACATACACACACACACACACACACACACACACACACAGACACACACACACACTCAGAGTCTGTTTTTTAGCACCTGCAAAAACATGCTGTTTACATATTTGACAAGAATGCAGAGGCTTCCTTTTGCCCCTGAAAAAAATCAAATTTCAAACACAACTTGACTGTTCATTTCTCCAAAAGACAACCATGAAGCTCCATTTCAAACCTGAAGCAGATAGTTGGTGCATGTGTACAGTAACCTGAGGGGAGTGAGGTGACTATTTCTGAGGAGAACATGAGCAGTGAAGATTCACCTTGGAGCTAGAACAGGGACGTGCACATGATTATACAGGGGCAGGGGCTCAAGTTTTTTCCAGTCATTTATACAATATGGAAATTAATGTGAAATTAAACCACAAATATGTGTGATGAACTGTTTTTAAAACTTAAACTTCAAATAAAAATTGTAAACTTCAAAACATATGCAAATTTTTAACAAAGAACATAGTAATTTACCTCTATTTACATCAAAATGCAGGCAATGGCCCAGGTGTTCTTTGTAAAATTATTTACAAAACACTGTATAGTCTCACAAATGTCACTTTTTATTTATGCCACTACAAAAAAACATGATGTAAATGATGCATGATGTAATACATGATGTAAAAAACTTGTGTAGATCCTCCTCTATGTCAGTCCATGTGTAATTTTTCCATAATTCTTTGTTTTTTGCAGCATTTTTGTTAGTGTAACTGCAGATTGTGCTGACAGTGTCTATGGCACAAAAAAAAAAAAAATTAAAATGCCTCAACATGAACCCCTGGTGGTCTCTGAGGGTGAAACCTGCTAACTGCTGCAGCTCTGTCAGCTTCAGTCTCCCATGCAGAGCTCTGAGCGCATGTGTGGCTCTGCACCCTTAGCAGCGTTGCTAACTCCTCAGTAAGGAAAGCCTGCTTCATGTCAGAGTCTCTAAACTCCAGAAGAAGTCGATAAAAGTCCCTTTCTTTCTAAAAAAAGTCGTTAGGGTGTCTGAAAAGTCATTGAATCTAACAACAAAGTCGCTAGGTTTGCAACTACGTGTCCCAGACTGCATCCCTGCTGAGAGTCCCTCCCTCCCTTCTCATGTTGCAGGAAGAACGTAAGCGCCCGCCCCTTGTCAATCAGTCACCATATAATTTTGGATTGGTTGTTGTGGTGAAGTTTTCCACCAATAGGAGAGATGTTGTGGTGTGTTTTTTTTTTTCTTTTGGCAAGCCTTTTCCGCCTGTAAGACCTGTCGCTAATGTCTGCATGCTATGTTTTCCTGTCTCATACAGCGTGATCGAGCGCCGAACGTGATCAAAATAAGCAGAAAAAAAGTATCGCGGACATAATTTATCATAACTCTGGTTTTATTTGGCCTATCAACACAATTTAAAAACTGGTATATAGGTTGAGGTCCTCACTTTTGAGATAAGTTGAAACGGAGAGTCAACGAGGCTCCGTCTTGCAGCTACATCCGGTTAAATATGTCATGTGACTTGAACGCACACATAGACACACACACACACACACACACACACACACACACACACACACACACACACACACACACACACACACACTCAGAGTCTGGTTTTTAGCACCTGCAAAAACATGCTATTTACATATTTGACAAGAATGCAGAGGCTCCTTTTGCCCCTGAAAAAAATCAAATTTCAAACACAACTTGACTGGTCATTTCTCCA